AATAACGTACTCTGACGCGCTCCATGTTGTACAAACACGCACCATGACCGTAAACGGCCTGCTAATCAGTCTCTCCTGACAGTAGAGCTATTCACATGGCAGAACATGCAAGATTAACGCCCAGTATCAACAGTATCACCCTTTTCCTTGAATTGGCTGTGATTCTGCGCTTTTTTTTCCCCAGGTCATTCAATGGAAATGAAACACCAGCTATTTAAACAGTGATAAAATGCTGGTCGAAACAGCAGCCAATATAAACCTCCGCCAGGCCAAGCTGCTCAGTAATACGGTATGTCACACACATTCTGGTCTTTCTTCACTTACATTGAAAAGCTCCACTTCCACCTCATACTCATGACTGCTGTGCCTGAAGTTAAACTCTTAAGCACTGGGAATTCTTGTGTAAAAGTATGGTCAATACAAGGTTTGACAGTAAACCAAATGTTTTGTTCCTCATGCAACGCAGGCAAAAAACTAATTCTGTACATACCGAGAAACTATTTTGTACACAGTTCTACTGCCTTGGGAACACTGTACAACACTGACACATTTCAATTCTATTCTAATGAATTTAACAGGATTTTCTTACACAAACATGCATGCATACTCCCCATGTGCATGCAAAACAGTCACTGCCTCAATACTTCCATTATTCACCTTCAGGACCTGATGATTCATAATGGTTAAAACACAAATGAAAGCAAGTTTTCAAAGTTCTCAAGGTTTTCAGATCACAGCATATTGGAACATGCATATGTAGGGACATTGCTTGGAATTCTGCCCCCCCCGACAAAATGTCACCTCAGCCCTCCTACTCCTCAGGCGTGGTGGGGGGGGCAGTCCTGATAGTAAATTTGGAGCCCCTGAATCTACTGGTCTCCATGGCTATGTAAAAAAAAAAAAAAAAAAAAAGAGGCAGTGACCACATCAGGGCTTTTGGGGTAAATGTGTCATCTTAAAGTATTGATGAACACTGCCCCCTAGTGTTTGACAAGTGAATAAAGAAATTTAAATTCAAAACGAGACAGGATGACAATACTGTTTATATGGATGTATTTTAATTGTGCATTAAAATTAGAGCCTCGTTAAAGATGTTTCATAGAAATTTTTCATAGTACTCTTTCCTGGAAAAACTAGGCTCCCCCCCCCCTTTGCTCCCCACACAAGCTGCCCGCTCCCTCTTCAGCTCCATTAACACCTTTTGTTTTGCAAACGAATCACAGTCAAAGTCATCCCCAGCTGGGAGTTACACCTTCAGCTGACAATTTTATCTTCTAGAAAACAACATAGAATGTTATTTTGGTATACTAACATGTGGTAAAGTATAATTGATTAAGCACAGTAAGACATTGCAAATAAACAGAGTAACAATACAGTACTTATTACAGTACAGTGCATTATTACACAGGATTGTACTCTTTCAAATGAGAAGGATTCTGATGTTCTACCCTGATGATCAAGAGATGACAGCAATAAAAAATAGATGGTATAAAAATAAAGTAAGTGTGTGTGTGTGTGTGTGTGTGTGTGTGTGTGTGAGTGTGTGTGTGTGTGTGTAACAGTCGCCACACACTCAAGGACCCTCCATCATACATTTGCCACAGGTGTATCTGTCACACTGTGCACACCGCTCTCTACTATGGTTCCTATACAGGTGTTAATGGATGCTGATGTGGGGAGTATGGGGGGGGGGGGGGGGGGTGGTCTCCTCACCTGGCACTTACGAGAATTTTCACAGGCTTCAGGAATTCTACAGCTTTGGTTGTGACATTTTACAGAATCCCAGAATTCACAGCTAAAACCAAACCGTTCAGTTAGCGGCATGATACAGGAGAAAGGAGAGGAATCGCTGTTCCTTGGTTCCTCTCATTTAAAAGAAAAAAAATTGCTAAAAATAGCGTAATGAGAAATATTCACTTTGTTTTGTTGAAGACTACAAATTTAGAATGAGGCCAATTTCATATATGAAGCGCCTGTTTAATGGTTGTCAGGCTTCTGATTTTAGAGCCATTTCCCAAATAAGTTTAAGATTTTAGTTTTTTTGTTCATAAACATTCACCATTTTTTAGAGCAATACCATAAACTGAGGGGGAAAATATGTTGGTAGACATAGTGGAGTGAAATCTTAGAATCTGTGGAGTTTGAATCATGTTCAAAAAAATATTACATTTTTTTGGCAGTGGAACCAAATTTAAATTTTTATATTAATAAACATTGAATTTTTTTGTCATCAATGCAGAATGCATACAAAATGAACAACATCACAACATGGGTAAGGTGGCCAAAAAATGTTTTCCTGGACACAGGAGGTCCCTAGATAAACACAAGCAGATGGAAAAGCTCTCTCAGGAAAACAACTGAAAGAGAAACAATCTGCTAGAATATTGGAGGTGAACCACTCAGGCTGGGACCTGGGGCAGTGCTTGCGCAAACAGTGACAATTTTTGGGACCCATAGGACCCAGCAGATGCCACCAGATTGGGTGTAGCTCGTGACAACTAGCGTAACTGATTGAGAAGTGATTTGTATTGTGTAGGCTGGTCATTTCAAAGTCTTCTGCACGGAATTGTTTAACACACAATCCAGGCAGCAAGACAGCAAGACAAGTTGTTAGCAAATAGGCTAGGGGATCAACATCAGGAAGTACAGTGCATATTTTATAGAGAGCGAGAGAGAAAGAGAGAGAGAGAGAGAGAGAGAGAGAGATAGAGAGAGAGAGAAACAGTAAAAAGTTTTAAGGTCTACAGTACTCAATTACTATTGATCAAAAAACAGTCTATGCTGACTGCCAGTGATTTTAATAAAACTAACATTTTCATTTATTTCTACAAGATAAACATATACCTAAAGAAAGGCTTTCAAAATAAATAAAATAAATAGATAAACATGTAAAAGGATAGCTTCCTTTTGTGGGAATGACTGACAGAGGATTGGCGTTGATGCTAATGAAATACAGGTTTGATCACCTCCATCACATGACCATGCATAATGGGCTCAATCATCACAAGAGAATGATGGAAGAAAGCAACAGCACAGGCACAAATAGGCTGGAAAAAGCCCTCAGGTTGGAATAGCAAGTTCAGCCTGAGAGACTAACAGAAGGGCCTCTCATTACGCCAAGTGGGACAGCAACCCAGATCCGGACCCTCCCCCAAACCAGGCCCCAACTGCAAAAATCTACTGCAACTCTGTTATACACAGAAACTGTAATAAAACATGTAATCAAGCAGTACATCATCTTAAACAAGGCTTCTATATCACACTGTAATTCATCATTTCACCAAATTTTCTCTCATGACCATGAACTGGCCTCTGCAGCATTCATGAGCAACAAAACGAATCCTGTGTCACCCTAATCGTGACAGAGAGCTGACTTACTTTATGTGCCTGCCAAACTGACACCCAGTAAACATGCTGCTATTAACAAAAGCTCTGAAAAGTGTATCAATGCATGTAAAGTATGAACATGCACGATTCCCATAATGAACAACCTTTGTACACAGTGAAGTATGAGCCAGCTTGAGGTTATAATATCAAGCTAATACAGTAAATAAACAGCCACATAAAGTATTTATTATTAACCAGAACCAACTATATGTGTGCCTGTTTTACTACTGAGAAACAATATTGAAGTACAACGGAAAAAAAGACATACAACATATAATAAATGAACGTTCTGTAGTTTAAAGTGTCCAAGTTTGAATTTAGGAAGTATATTTTTAAAAGTTAGATGTGGTCCAATTGTTCATCTATGAAGCCAATTAGAAATTAGCCAACTACCTCACATACACAAAAAAACATTTTGTAATGCCAACTATCTGTTGACCAGCAGCTTTGAATGCATTAAACATTAACAAAACATTTTACTTAAAAGACATTCTCAGTTTCTCATATATTTTATATAAGATATAGCAAAACCTAATATCCCGACACAGTCTGTAAATATATCAGTGTTTGGATATGATACAGCGTGAACTAACATTCGTTACGCAGCTTTCCTAACATTAGCACCGTAATAGCAGCACAACATCCTTGGTAGGACACCGGTTTATTCATTTTGATGTGGTAACTCACTGACATCTAGTGGTACGGTAGTGTTTACACCGGTGTGTCTGTACCTTAGCTGAGGATGACTTGGCTTTGATATTATGCATCTTTCAGGATTATTAAAACACGTTGAGATCAGACAACACAGCTGTTTCTGAAACTACGTTATCTCCTTCCACAATTTCAAGATGCGCCATACACACTATTTTATTAGAATGGGGTATGCTAAGTGTGCCTTCATCACAAATTACACCCTGGTTTTGTGAGGTATACACGTCACCTGTAGCAGGACATCTGTTAGCTGCTGGTGCTCCGAACGGGTAACTAAGATACCAATTCAGAGCTGAAAATGATTAGCAGAGAATATGTAGCAGTTAACATCATTCGACAAATTTCGGTAGATGACCATTTAAAATGAACTACTTTTCAAAATAAAGAGACTCGTATAATAAGCTAAGGTTGGCTTACTTTTTGAAATCACTGCTGAAAAGGCCAGATCCCACCCCTGCAGATGAAGAAGTCGGAGTTGTCTCCTGTCCAGCCTCTACGGCTGGCTCGGCTCCTCCTTGGTCATTATACAAGTTGTTCGCCGACATGTTCATCATCTGAGTACAATGCGAAACAATCCACGCGTCTTGATATCTGTATGTACTAAGAATGTAGGACGAGGAAACAATCGCGTAACACTGTACAAAACAAACAGAAAAACTTTCGTGCAACTTTGCCAGCTCTCCACGCAGTACCGGAAGTATCCAAGAAAGAGTCGCAAAGGACCGAATCACATGACAGTAGTATGAGTGCGACCGAGGCGCCTGACCCTGACGTTTCCGCGGTAACCTGAAGCCTGGACCAATGAGAATCCAAGATTAGCTTCATTTACAATTACAGACTTTTGCTTGACCAATAAATGGAGTGAAATAATAAGACTCAACTGCACATTGGTCAGGCTTGTAAGAACGTCCCAATTGGAGCATTTATTTTGGAACAGAAGGGTGCGCTAAAATCCAATCCCTGCGTTTCTGTTGTTTTGTCAGCAGAATCAGGTTAAGGAGACCGTAAATCTCATATGTAAAGCTCTTAAAGGAGTGTTTATAATAGCCCTTTTACGATCAGGATGTGTTACATATTTTGTTTGAAAATGGAGGAGTCAGCGTTTCTACGCAGAACCACCGCCCGCAAATTAATTGAAATATGTACTTGACAATTAAGTGGCTGACAGGTGAATGGATGAATTATTGTGCATCAAAAACACGATATGAACAAAAGAAATACTAACCCTATCCAAAACAAACTGAGAAAATCTTCCAAATTTTTATTTAATCACTCAAGTCACCGTTCTTTGAATCAAACGTTTTGATAAGGCAAATTAGTTTAAGATCTCATATTGAATTCCCTGCGATGGGTTGGCGTCCCGTCCAGGGATTCCCTGCCTTTGGCGCCTAACGTCTGGGATAGGTTCCGGACCTCCGCGACCCTGCAGAGGACAAGGGTTAAACAAAAATTATTAATATTAAATGCCAGTGAAAAAGTCATGGTTGCATAACTACTGTGGAGTTTAAAGTTCCATTCATGTTCTGAGCTGTTTCACATCATAGATATTTTCATTTCATTTCTTAAGAAGTTCTTAGGTCGGTGTATATTTGTTTTGTGGTGAGTATGTAATAGCTACAGGACACGAAAAATACCTTTGTTTTCCAATGACAAATTTGGCAGGTTTCTGCAAATAATTAGTTTACACAAATTAAAAGTATTTTTGTATCATTCAGTATAAAGCGTATTAACAATGCATAGTTCTGTGTGGGGTAGCCCTTGGTGCTTGGCTGACATATATCCATTGCTCAAGTGAGAGACAGAGGGAGATGGTGCCGGCTGCCTCTTCTGGATTATGAACTTGTCTGGAGTCATTTATTTATTCATTATCCGGTCAGCTAGTGTTCATTTGTTTCTGAAGGTTATATTCTTGCTTCTAAAACGGGCAAGCTTCTCAACAAAGTAATTTAATGAAACACCCAGATGTGTTAACATGATAAATGTGTCAGCAGTAATAATAGCTGGGCCGAATGTTCTTCCTGTTCTCATGAGTTTCAGTTATGTATTATTCACTAAGCACGGTTCACAAATTTGCATGCCGTGAAAATGCTAAAAGATACATTGTAATACAAATAAGCACTACATATGTGACATTTTCTTTATTTTTTAGGCTACATTGTATAAAATTTAACCACGGTTCATTGTAAAAAAAAAAATAGAACATATTTAATAACATTAATAATTTAATAATTAAAAATATTGAATAGGTTTGTTAACATTCTTACAAATGTAACATTTTTATATTGATAACAGGATGAAAACGTTTTTGATTCTAAATCAAACGTATAAGCTAAAATCGTTAAAAATGAGACACTTTGTTCCGACTCTGTTAGTTTTTTTCAGTTGTCAATACACATTTTCTGTAATCAAGGAAACTTTTTCAAAACCATAAACACAAATGTAAAACCTTTAGCATTGGTCACAAAAATGCATCTCTGCCTGTCAAAACCTACCAATCAACTCAAAACCATGTTAACTCTGTTTAAAATGAAATTGTGTCATTAAAATGCTCACACTTGCATCAACAGACACTATTCTTATCTTCTTCACACTAGTCCAATCAATAGAAAACAAAGCAAAGATGTAGATGAATTGATATAAACTTAATTGAATGAAATTACAAGCAAGAAAGTATACCTATATCAGTAAACTGTGAATGTTGAAGAAACAATGCCAGTTTCACTTTTCACAAGATTTTGAAAAAAATTGTTCTGCACCCCCTCAAAATTTACTGTGTGCTCATTGCATTGCTTTAAAGGAATATGTGTTTTGTCTTACTGTATGTGTCTCGCGAAAATTACCTAGTAACTGCTTCAACCGAGCGTGCGGAACTCACTAACTTGTCCATTGCCTGGAGCCGGGAGTAGCGATGCCAAAACGGCGCCGCAAGAACCATTTGCTATATTTTCTGACGCCACTAGATGGTGTGCTTAGGCATGCTTTGAGCCCTTTTATGAAGAGAGAGTATCGTCTAGTTGGCAGTGAGCCACAGCCACCGTGGCGGGACATTCACACAGTGCAAATACAATGGATTATAGTATGCGGAGGGCCACTGAAGGCAACGTGGCCATAGTGGGACTACGAAAAGCATACGTGAATTAAAACTTTGCTGTTTTTATATGTTAATTTGACAAAAAAAAAAAAGAATCTAAGACTTTGACCTGTGAAATTTGGTGGATGTACAAAAAGTTCGATTCTTTTAGATTTAAAAACTAGTTCCACCGATTCTCTGAAAAGAACCGGTTCAGATCGATGAAGGATTCGTTCACAAATCGGACATCGTCATGGCTGTTTTTGCGTGCAAGTAGTGTTTTTCTCTCCCCGCAAATACAAATGAGTCTTGGCATTGTATTGGACTTGGGTACTAATATATTGGAGCGCCGGTGGGATTAGCGTCTCCCTGTATACTCGCGGGCCGTGTGTATAGCCTTTGCATGTGAGCTTTACTGACAAGTGTGTAACCTCCCGGCGTTTGGCTGCCATGTTCGTCTCGGTCGCTATTTATGCAGTTCGTCCGTCACAATCAAGCTCTTTGTCGTCCAGTGAAACCGCTGCCTGATCATTTCTGTCCGCTGAAAGGTTTGAAGCATTAGAAAACCATAATCAAGAGCTTATGGGATTTACTGCATAGAGCACCATTGTCGCATTCACATAGCTCCTTGGTTTCTAAGCTAACCCTAGTGGAAGACAACTAAAATTAAAATTTAGATAGTTTACATGGCTTCGTCACAGTAATCAAAACAATCATTTTGTGATATATCAAGTATATTTGAATATATTATAAGATGGTGGGCATGAGAGCTGCATTTCATGATCCAAGGATTTATGGTCTTTATTTTTATTTTATTTATCCTTTATTTTACCAGGAAGGTTCCACTGAGATACATTAATATAATGTACCTTCCTCCACAATACGTTTTTTGCCCTCTTCATGTTTGCCTGCTGCCTGGAAAACATTCTGTGCCCTCAAGGGTTGTGAAGTTTGTAATATTCATTATCTACTCCCCCCCAAAAAAAAAAATTGTTTTTTGGAATGCTTCCTGTTTAATACATTTATTGTAATCTGATTGCTTGTGGTTGTTTTATATGATGCGGTTGCTGGTTAACTTATTATATGTTCTTGTCAAATAAAATAATTTGTCTTTTTAAAGGTAAGATTTGTCAAGAAGTGCGGGTTGTCTTATATTCGGGCCAATATGGTACTTTCAGCTTGATTTCAGTTTTATTAGTGCAATACTGATTATGCTTTTTGACCCATAATGCCATGTTAGTGAAATTTTGCTATATTAAGGAAATGATTTTAATCTTATCCTAACCTGTCTCAGTCAAACATACTTTTCCTCCATGTTTGGTGTTTAACCCCTGTGGATGGGACACTCCTTCCTCCAAATGACCCCTTCACACAGAAATGCAAATGTTTAAAATGAGTCATTTTCAGCATCTGTTGGAGAAAAGGTGATAATAAATGTGGCTACCCAAAACATGTAACAAACCATGTAGATTAGCAATATACCAGACCATTAAATGCAAATATTTAAATAACTATTAAATTACAATATCACCATTTAAAAAAAATATATGTTTAGATTATTCTCTATGCACCTGCCTCTCCAACTCAGCTCTAAAGAATTTTCAAATGTTTAAAAATGCAGCTGCTAGACTTTTAAGCAGAAACAGCTATAGAGCACACACATGTTACTCCCATTCCGGCTTCTCTACACTGGAGAGAGAGGTAAGGAGCACAGGCTGACACTGTGTTACTGCACCCACCACATGACAAACCATCTCAGGGATGACAACCCAAGTGCAGTCATGCAGCAGGTGGTACCTCAGCACCACACCAGTTCAAATGGAATGGTGTGAAGTTCTTCCGTCAGGGGCTGGACTGCCAATCCTGCCACCAACCCCCAAGTTTTTCCTGGAAGTTGGAGGACCAGCTTGTAGGGCTGGATGTAGATTAACAACACACCCGGGATAAAGCAACTACAGGTTAAGGGTCTCAATCAACAGCCCAATGAAGTAGGATCACTCCTGGCATTCACAGGATTCAAACCAGCAACCTTCTAATTGGCAGCACAGATGTCTATCCTTAGTTTTTGTTTTGCAAATACCACCACATTGTTGGACTTGATTATTTTTAACCCACAGAAGAAATTTCACAAATATATGCCATGATCCACAATTATCTATCCACAAATGAGTATTTTTTTATTTGTGTTGTGTAAAATAATATCCACAAAAATAGAGTGATTATTACGTGCGAAACGTGTTTTGCACATTTGTGAATCACGACTTGTCTATTTGTGGATCTCTTCACATTTGTGACTTCCCTCCTATTGATTTGTGGATTTTTGTCCAGTTTGTACTGTTACGGAGCCCCTAAGAGGTCTGGGCGGGAAAATATACCCACAATAGTTATACACTTGCTATTTGCTGCAACCTGACGGCATGGATAAACCTAAATAATACAGACATGTCTTATAAAGTGTGCTTTACGCATTAAACTATGTGGCATAATGTACACCATATAACTTAAATATACATTTTATACATATTTATTAATAATTGCACTGTGTCCTTTCACTGGGACTTTAAGCAAGACAGCTGGGCTATTGAACATGAAGTGCACACATACAAACACTGAAATATATCACAAACACTGAAAGATTTCATTCGGAAAACTACATATAAAGCTACTGTAATTTTACCACAGTGTTGAAGTTAAGGTTTAAACTCGGACTTGCTTTCTGGAATATTTCAGTATAGATCCGCACATCCCTACATAGATCATCAAGCGAGAATACCAGGGAGGTATACCTGAAAGTGGGTTCGGGTTTAAACCTTAATTATGATACCGCAGTAAAGTTAATAGGCAATATCTTTCAACAAAAGCAAGCAACATGCCTTGGTTTTCCAGATTTCTTTGCAAGTGAATTTTAATTAATATTTCAATGTTTGTGTGTGCACTGCACGTTCAGTAGCCCAGCTGTCTTGTTTACAGTCACTGGCGGTGAATGGACACAGTGCAGCTATTAATAAATACATATCAAAACACATATGAAAGTTATATGGTGTGTATTGTCCCCCAGAGTTTAATGCTTAAAACACATTTAACTGGGCATGTCTGTATTGTTTAGGCTTATACTTATTAGTCCATTAATTCTATCTTTTGTATTTTAAATGGTCACAGTACAGTTATTATTAGCAATTGAAGAATACTGCAAGGGAATACAAAACTACTGTGTTGTGTAAAATCATATCCACAAAAATATGGAGGTATTTGTACACGTGAAAAGGATTTTGCATATTTATAGATAACTTCCCGTCTATTTGTGGATCACCTTGCCTTTGTGACCTCGCTCCTTCTTATTTGCAGATTTTTGTCCAATTCCTACCGCAGCTGATCTGTAGAAAAAATTCATAAATACAAGGTAAGCTCTACTTACATCTGTGACCTTTTGACCCCATTCTCAGCAAACCGGACTCTCGGGTCTTCAGATCAGGGCCTTCTTATTATCCCAGGGCCAAGTTTAAGGTCAGAGCTGCCAGAGCTGTGGAACAGCCGGCAGTTTGGATGGCGTCTGAAAACTTTTATGTACAGACAGGCCTTTTGTTCATGTTTCAATATCTTTGTTTTATTTTTTTGTGAAGCACTATGTGACATTCCGTCCAGACAGGTGCTATATAAATAAAATACTCACTAAAACGTTCTTTTATATCCTCCTTTGGGATCCTCCCAAACACATGCAGTTAGGTGAAATAGCATCTGTAAATATGCCATAGTTTGTAATTGTGTGTGAGTGTGTGCGTGTGTGTGGCCCTGATGGACTGGCATCCAGTGTAGAATGTGCTAGTGTAACCGGTCCCGTGCTGCTTCTTGCCGTGCAGTGAGACCGATTAATCAATGGTCATAAAGAAAAACATTTAACCAGTTTTAGTGCTCTCTCTGCGTTGTGTTACTCGGTTCTCTGGTGGTGTGTGGGTGCAGAGGAAGAGAAGAGTCGCTCCAATTGGAGGTGCTGACGATCCGTCGTCCCCCTTTATTGACCGGTCGACCTGATGGATTTACCAAAATTACAATTCCCTAACAGCTCAGCTCTCCTGCCCACCTCTTCCCTCGAACAGAACAGAAGTGAGAGTCGCTAACTAAAACTGTACATCGACATACAAAAGAAGTTGGACCTACCTGATGGATTTACCAAAATTACAATTCCCCAAAAACTCAGCTCTCCTGCCCACCTACAATATAAATCCATAAGAAACGTGCACTCTATTCATTTCTTATAACCAATATGCCTTAATTTATCTGTAGGCGTTTTGGAAGCTCGCGCCTACGCTCTTACCTCTTCCCTCGAACAGAACAGAAGTGAGTGAAAAGGCGCGAGCGGCTAATATAGGAGAGGCGGCTTGACGGGAAATGTAGTTTCAACCATCTTATTAGTCCATAAATTAAACACAAAATAAACTATAAAAGAATTTTTGTGAAATTATATAAATACAAAACACAACCCGTAACACTGCCTTGGACCCTCTGCTGCTTGAGATATACTCCCCTCCTCACAACTCTGGAAGATAAATGGATGTTTGTGCTGTCACTACTGTGTGGTGTGAGCAATGCCAGCTCACTACTGCAGAGCAGCAAATGGCGCCATCATTAATCAGTGACGTGACCCATCTAAATTCCGACTTTCCTTTACCTAATTGCTGAGTCTTGCTTATATGACTGCCAATAGGAAGGCATTTCTTTCAAACTTTAGTTTCGCCCTGGTTTGTCCTTACCATTTTTTTTGTTTGGAAAGCTCTTGATTTTGTCTGATTTACATATAATAAATACTAGGAATCAGTGGCGTTGGAAGGAGTTTGACATTGGGGAGGATCAAATTTGAGCTGGTGGTGGGGTGGGATGTGATATATGCCGCATCATCAGAATGGGCACACATGTAATAGTAACATTGTGAAAGTATACGATGTAAGAAAGATTTTTAAAATTATTTTACAATAATAAGGATTTCATCACTTGAAATAAATAATCCATATGATAAAATGTTTGGGGCAGCATGGTGGTGCGGTGGCTAGCACTGTTGCCTCACATCTCTGGGACCCAGATTCAAGTCTCTGCCTGGATTACATGTGTGTGGAGTTTGCATGTTCTCCCCATGTTGTTGTGGGATTTCTTCCAGGTACTCCAGTTTCCCCCCCAAAGACATACTAAAGCAAATTGGAGTTGCCAAATTGTGAGTGTGCCCTGTGATGGGTTGCCCCCCCCATCTTGGGTTGTTCCCTGCCTTGTGCCTGTAGCTTCCAGGATAGGCTCTGGACCCCCTGTGACCCAGAAGGATAAGTGGGTTGGAAAATGGATGGATGGATGGATAAAATGTTTGTCTGATACAGGACTACAATCTTTGCTTGGTGTATGTTCTGTCTTCAGGCTCTGCTGCATGCACAGCAAATTGGTCTCAGTAACACATGGATTCAAAATAAAAAGATAAGGAACATGCTCTTCATTATTTATTTATTTTTGGAGAAGGGGGGGGTCTGCCCCCATCCCCCCTATTTCTAACACCCTTGCTTGGAATAACGCTAACCCTTGTTCTGACAGATTTTTCCTCCTTGCACTTGAGTCAGGACCAAGTCTTGGCATAACATATGGAGTCTAGCCCCAGGAAACACAAGGCACAAAACAGGGGAACACCCTGGATGGAATGCCTCTCCATTACACGACATATTATCTTCTTCATTCAAGAAACCACAATGCATTTTTTCAGAACATTCAAACATTGAGCTCCATCTTACAGGGGAAGAATTCCACAAAAAGCAACAGACTTCTGATATAAAACTAAAACCATTGCAAAAAACAACTCCAGTTCAAAAACACCTGTTTCCCCCCATGGCTATGCTTAAGATACCAAATAAGTCATTCCATTTTAATTCAGCAAATGGTCTTTGCTTCATCATTTTTGGTTATGATGAAATTTGGCATGTGAATAACAAATTCCAAATTCCTCCCAGTGCTCAGAAAAGATTTTTTTTTATTCCCCTTTGAGATATAACATCTTTTAAACATAATGGGTAGCAAAAAAATTCAGAATATTTTCTTGAGCTGTAACTTATTCACTATTACAGCTACATGGCTGAGCTCATTGGAAAGCTCAATAAGAGGCCATTTTAATGGCATGGTCAAATGAAACTTTTGCACAAGTCTAGGATTCCCAAGTCAAAGTTAATCATTTTTTATGATAAAATACATGTGTACTACTTGTACATAAAACATTGACCTGTTACTTGGTCCTCTTCATCAGATAAGCACTCAAAACTGTATGTGCTTTTTTACAGTGAATAGCCAAATCAAATTTTAAAAAATGAAATCACATTTTTTTGTTTCTATTGCATTTCTTTAAACTTGTAACGCAACATATAAGCCAAACTAATAAGTCAATGTACTGAGCTGCTTACCTGACCTAAGACGGCTCCTCCTCCTTTCTGATTTAACCCTTTGTATACAAGAAACATGAAAATGATCAGTTTTGAAGTTTAATGACATTTTGAGCATTGGCCTTTACTTGTAGAGTAACATCACCACCTGGTACACATCCCCTTCTATACCAATGTTGATTAACAAGGTGGTGGATCACAGCAATCAAAGGTCAAGTGACCTCTCACCTCTGGGCAATGTGGTATCTCCAATTAATCTCAGCATGTTTTTGGACTGCGGGGGGGGACTTGGAGCACACCCCATAGACATAGGGGGAACATGCAAACTCCACACAGACCCAGGTCTCAGAGACGTGAGAGCACAGTGCTAACCACTGCACCACCTCACTGCCACAGAAGGCTTTTATATTAAAGTAAATTTAATTGCTCAGTGGGTGGCACAGTGGTATGGAGGGTAGCACTGCGGCCAGTGATGTGGTTTTAACTCCTATTTCGAGCTCTGCGTGTGGGTGCGCTCTGATTTCCTCTCTTAGTTATTATAAATGCTTTGCTCATGTTAAAGATGGTAATAACTAGCAGACAAGTGATGATAAAGTTATACTTTCATCAGGACTTCATTCTTAGTACCAAATTAACATATGTAATTTATAACAGTGAAGACAGGTATACTCTTCTATACCGCTGCAGCCTCACAGGATTTAAGGCGCACGCGGTAACAGGGAGGAGTGAGCGCACTTCAGACAGATAAAGGTCCCCGCGGTGGCAGTGAGGGTGACGTCGCGGTGCGGCGGAGTGTCAGATTGATCTCGGACATCACTTCCGTTCCTGCCATTTTGCTGCTGAAGAAAGCCTAAAGTGAGCCGTCTTACTGTAACGTTCATCGAGGGGGGGTATCCTTTCTTAAAAAAAAATAATTAATTAATAAATACAAAACACCGGAAAAGCAGAAGAGAGACGGAGGAACACAAACCTGAAAGATGTCAGACTTCGACAGCAACCCGTTCGCGGACCCGGACTTTAGTAACCCGTTTCAGGTAAAGGGAATGGCTATTTGGTTAGCGGACTTCCCGGGCAGCGCGGCTGGTCACACACTGACAGCCCAGGCTGGCTGCTTACTGTATCTCACTGACAGGAGCCTGTAGACCTCAGCGGCAGCCCCGCTAGTCGGTCACCTGCGGACGTGCTATGGGCGCCCTGTCACCTCCACATTAACTCATCGCTGTTATGAGGAACCTGAGCGCCGTTTAGCACCTCGGCACATGTAGCTGCCTGGCCGGGGCTCCCGTCGGCTTCTTTGCTTTTTATTACGACGCGTTACTTTTGTTTACTGACTGGATAACGACGCAGAGGCGGCCGTCGGCCACGCGCGTGTACATCCTTGGGAACGGATTACGTATGCGAATGGTCTTAGATTAATTGCCTTTTACTCTTTTACTTTTCTTTTACCTAGTAGATTTATAATATACCAGCACCAATTCGAACTAGCAAATACTTAGTCATGAGTACTTAAAGTTAGATGTGTGTGTTTTTTATATTTCGGTGGTCAGTTGGTCTGTGTGGCAGTCTGTGACGTTACCATTAGAATAGCGAAGCACCTTTTTTCTGACACAGTGCAATTAGTTTAGCGGTGTAACTTTACACCCTCGATATTAGATTACCGCGAACCTATTGCGTATAAAATGCGTATTTGTTGTTGATGGACCTTTAGCAGACGACAAAGTATCGACGATAAGTCGTATTCGACATTAGTATATAGCAAATTTTGTTAACAATATGACAATGTACACTATATAGTTGGTTGATAACGTGTGACATCAGCGATGCTTGACTGTCCAACGGTACCAATGTAATGTAGTGGAAGCCACGTAAACAATTAAAATATAGAAAACTGAACCTGTCCAATTGGATTTTTACACACTAGGATATTTGAAAACAGTACCCTTTCAATTTAAAGGTTCATTTTAATTAATTAAGCATAGCAGAATATCAGACCTGAACAACATGAATTTTATAACTGTCAAAGTCCTATTGTTTTTAATGTTTTAAATGTTTTTAACTGTTTCGTAATTTAACTGGGCTTAGGGGATACTTTTTAGCTTTTTTTACTGCAACACTGACAGTTTCGGGATTGTTCCTGTTTTGATCCCCTCTGGAAAAAGTCATACATTTTGATTTTGTTGATATTATACCAAATAAGCTTGTCTTTTGATCCCATCGTTATATGATTGTTGTGATAGCATATAATATTCAGATATATTTTCCCTGCTACTGTTAAAAAGAAAACACTGGAGAAAATTATTAAATGTTTGTTTTATTTTCAACATACTGTAGTGTGTCTTGGAGAAAAGAGGGATAACCCATTTGTGAATGTTCCTGTGGTTCATAGTTAAGTTATGAGCTGCTGAACAGTGGTTTCAAATAAGCCTATTCCTTAAAATGGGAAGAATGTCTATGCAGAAGCTGTAGAGTGATTCTGAATAACTTTCTAAGTAGGTATTTTGTTTCCAGCAATATGTATTGGATAATATTCATGTGATTTAGCTTTAGGTTATTTTAATTAGATTTGGTCTGTCTTGACTCTTTGTCCTCTCCAGAATGATAGGAAATCACATTCAGCTTATTACATTTGGGGTATCTTGTGTCCGCCTACTTTGAAATGCAATGAATCTGTTTTCAGCACAATATAGAATAATATTCTTGAACCTCTGATTAAAACACTTTTGTTACTTCTAAGTGCTCTTCCAGAGCACAATTCCTTAATTTTCTCAAAGACAGTGATGCATGTTTCACTGTTTCATAACAGCATGCAACTATTTCATACACACAAACATAAAACTTTCTGCTTTAAATTATTTGGTTCATTGAGTTGTGTTCTGGTGGACTTACAAAGAACTATAACAGAACGCATTCTGTTATTTGCAAGGACACAATGTGTGTGATTGTTTCACTATGCCTGGAGGTGTCCCCAAACAATTCAACACAAAGTATGCCTTTTTATGCATAATCCACAGTGTAGGAGTCTGTGTTGTCACACATTGTTAAATAATTAATGAGAATCGGATCAACAATTTTATGGGTGCAGAAGTTTTCTATCGGCATGCCATGTAATTCAATAGTGATTGTAAAACCACAATAAAAGAGTTAGAATAAAAGAGTACCTAAAGAGTACCTAAAGAGTACCTAAAGAGTATCTAAAGAGTCACCTCTACAATGGCTGGCAATTTAAAAATAACTCTTACTAGGATGAATGGATGTATTCTCTGTCTTGCACATTTCTCTGGTAGTTATCTTAGAATCTGAGTCATACTGGTTGTATTCTGGCCTGAAGTCACTCCAAACTGCAGTTTGCAACAGGGACAAGTGGGAGTTTTTATATTTATTTATTTGTTTGTTTGTTTTTGATTCTTACTGGCAGTTTTATATATATTTCTTTTGCTGAGGTTATACATAAACTGCTGATCAACAGACATGCATGTTTCTTAGTCAAACAAAGCACCATTCAGATCTACAGTCAATGCTATGCTTGGAAATAATAAAGGTGATTTCATACTGCAAGAGTAATTCTAAAAAAATATATATTAGATATGGCATTATATTGTTCCTAAAAGTAAGTAAAGTAAGAAAATAACTACATATTTTTAAAGTGTTTTAGCAGCCAACAAGTCATGAGTATTTGTATTTGTATATAAAGATGTACAAAAAAATGTGAGTGAATCCCATGTATTCATTTTGAACCCTGAAAGAGTTAATCTCTGTTTATTTTGCTCGAGTTCAGTGCAGGAATAATATCACTTTTTATTGCTGCCCGGCTGATGAAATCACCAGCAGTTTTGTTTCCACCCAAGGAGATAAACTACAAAACTGTTGAAAATCTACCACTGAAAAAAGGTTTTCTCTCAACCTCATAAAAAGACACAGCTAATTGGTGATAAAGATAGCTCAAAGTGAGTGGGTGTCTGTTAGACTTGAGGTCAGAGTTGCCTACGACACAGATCTGAGATTTTTATTTATTTATTTATTTTACTTAAGAGCAATTTTTGTTCTTCTGTTGGATATATGAAATACGAAGGCTGGGTAATTAAAAATTGTAGGGCAGGAGAGCCACAGGTTATAGGGCTGAAAAGCAAATTTATGTCTCCTTTAGCTATTGGAAGGATCTTACTTTAATGAAACTAGCCGACTGAAGGAGAAAAGGTGAAATTTCACAGTACTGGTATGAATGCAGAGTTTTTGTTTGCAGATATAAAAAGTTTCTTCTTTCATTAGAGAAATGTCCCTGAAAAGCAGTAAATCATTTGAAAACATTTTCTAGCATCCATTCCAATGTCGTTTTCCCATGGTGCTTAATATAACATGTAGTGACTATGCACCAAATTCATTTGGGATCCTGGTCTCAGAGGACGGTATGCTAATGAGGTAGAAGAACTGTCCATCTTTAAACCTCGTTCCTGTAGAGGATGCATTGGTTGCTTGCTGTTGCAATCCCAGGCCCTGGTAGTTGTACATAAGGAGGGAAGTGGTGCTGTGGTATGAAGACTGAAGTGCTGCAGCTGTGGCAAACTGGAAAAGGGAGCAGAATTGTGTGGTCAGGTGACCTAAAAGTGCTTTCCTAATGAGAGAAAGCATAAGAACCAACTGACCAATGGGTCTGCTTGGAACTGTGTTACTGTTTTATTAATAATCACGGTTGTTGTAATATGGATTCTCATGATGTGCCTCTCTGCAACATAATTATGTCCACTTTGCTCATGAAATGAAAGTTTACCTGTTTTGAAAAGCACATGTAGCAAGGATAGTCGATTGACACAGGACTGGCGCTCAATCAGGGAAGTAATCAGATATCAGTTTAAGCAGCTATTGGCTATATTGTGTTAAATGTCATTTTAAAATTGCTGGGGATAGCATACTACTGAATAATATGTGTTACAATGTTGGTAAAAAGGCTGTAGGATGTAAGATGTGTAAGATTCTTAATGATGTGGTCGTCATTAACACTAAGGTAAGACTTCCCCCCAAATGAGCATGGGGAATCATTATTGCAAACAAATTCCCACTCTACAACAAGGTAAACTCACATTTATTAAACTTAAACCTTGGAAGAGATGTTCATATATATATTTTCTTCCTGGCCATTAGCTATTTTTCAGTAGTAATGTTCGGCATTTTTAGATGAAGAATCCTCTGAAATAAAATGAAATGTCAGACATCACCCCCATTTAGCCTTACTTTACACAATAAAAAGTGTTATTGTTATTACCTAACTATAGCTTCTGGTATATATTCCATGCAGTTTTCCCCCCTCTGATTTATAATTTAGGTTAGTCATGGACTGTCAGCATTCTGCTAATTAAAAATTAAATGGTGAACTTTGAAACTGTATAGCATTTGTTTAAAAAATACTGTCTTATCCCTCCTGTCCTCTTCTTTAATAATTACTCACTAAAGACAAGCTTTGTCAGTATTGCTAAAATCAAATCCACTCCAAACACAAGCTATACTTTAATTTATGTGTGCATTTTTTAACAATTTATTTTGAGAAATTTTAAAAATTAAGACCAGAAAGTCCTCCTGTCTGAGGCTGTCTGTATGCATCATCTACTAATCTGTATATAAATACTCTTATAGAACAAGTAAATCTTTGTACCCAAAAAGAGAGGTTCTCTAATTAATTTGTGGACACAGTTTCAGGTTGAGCCTGAAATTGTTGCCCATTTGTTGGATGCACCTGCTAAACACCAATCTTCAGATGAATGAAAAAATAGTAAAACTACTATTTCCCTCCAGTGTGGGATACAATTAGCTATCCTCCTCCTCCTCCCTTCTGATGAGTGCGATGATAAATTTGTGTGTGTGGCAGGTGATGCGGGTAAAGTTACGTAAGTCACTGACCTCCCTGATTTCCACACATTCACCTCTTTGAACCTACATCGCCTGATTCCCTGGGGCTCTCCTCTAATGAGCAGACATGGCAAAACACGCTTTAAACTCTGCAGGCTTGTTGCTCTTTATTGGGACAAAAGGCAGTAGGATTAAATGATCTACAGTAGGCAATGCAGCCTGCTAGAAAGAGGCCTGAAGCTGGTCCATCTGAAATCAACTTCATTAGACATTCAGTTTGCCTAAAGTAAGCAAATGAGTCTGACCCCACTGGTTAGTAACCTTTAGCTTGATCTTGAATTAAATCGAAGTAGAACAATTCAATTAGTAACATAACTGCCGTATACACTGGATTGGTATAATGTGATTTTATTACTTTTTTTGTGAATGGCAGCACATTAATTAAATTGGGGAGGCCATGAATCAAGTGCCATTCCATTTGGGGTGAGGGAGTGTGTGTGTGTGTGTGTGTGGGGGGGGGGGTAGGTAGCCTAGTCCCAGTTACCACTCTGTATCGGTGCTTAGCATTCGGGTAACTGATGACACACGCTGGTGTACGTGTATTGCGCTGTGTTGGGGTGCGGGGGGGGGGGGTGTTACTGCAAGCTGAGGGAAAACAGAATGGGGAAGAGATTGAGTCCATGTAAAATATTGTTACTGCTGCTGGTATTATTATCATTATAATAATATTAATCTTTATTAATATAAACAGCAGCTATCATCATAATTATTATTGTTGTTGTTGTTATCGTAGTTATCGTCATTATTATTATTATTAATATTAATTATTCACTTATTATTATTATTATTATTATTATTATTATTATTATTATTATTTAGGGATGCACCATTCCCACTTTAATTGTCCTGATACCAATACCAATATCTGGGCTTTGGGTATCGACTGAGTACCGATCCCATACCAGTGTTTAATTTAAAGGCTTTTGCCTCACTGTGTGGAAAAGACTGTGATCATCATCAAGCAACATCAGGCTTAACTTAAACCTTATATACATGCATATGTTACATTTATCATGTGTGACTGTAAAGGCTGGTTCATACTTGTAGGTCGAATTGACACCATAAGTATCGGACATTTTTACGAGTACGAGTATGAGCATATGAGTGCAGTATTGGCCCGATACCAGGTGCTTCCCTATTATTATTATTATTATTATATACCATCAAGTTAACTTCTGGTTAGCATATGTACTGTACAGTACCAGGGGTCGCTGTCATGGCATTTCAGTCCATACACCATGTTGTTGCTCATCCTCTTCTCTCACCTTCATCTTTCCCAAGCACTATAGTCCTTTACAGCTTCAGTCCAGTCATTTGCACTTCAGTTGAAAGGATAAACTGAATACCGTACTAATTGTAATTTTAATTTGTATTTTATTTGTTCTTTTAAAGTATGTACCTGAGATATATTACATTTAAATATGAACAAAAAAAGATATTTTCATCACTTTTGGCTTCATGTTCTGTAGGATTATTGGGAAAGGCATTTAAAATTTTGATTGACTTCTGACAATTTATAAACAGTGCGATTCATTTGAATTAAAAATATCAAAGGACGTTTTACAATTTGCAGATCCTGAGTTCTATTTCTGTGTTTCACCAAAAAGCAATGTACTGTCATCCAGTCACTTTTTTTAGGGCACATTGAACCCCTTTGGGGGATTGAGGCATGGTTAACGTGCCATGGTTTGTGCAACATGCCTACCTGTGTGTGTGTTCCGCCGCACAATGGAAGGCAGGTCAGGTTTGTTCCAGCAGTTTTGAATAATTGACCGATGTGATGGGCTCCTCTGGGTGATGCAAGCACATAAATCATTCATCTGCACCTAAGACACCCTTTGGCTTTAGCTCAGCTCCTCACCCTCTGGAGCTGGATAGATGTGAAACAGAGATGCGAGGCTCTGCTACATTCCTAATTATTGAGGCCCCTTTGGGAACAGAAAAAAAGACTAATCTTTTAGTAAAACTGCCTTTAAATTCTGTGTTGGATTTTGTTAATGGTTTTAAGGAGGTCATCTTTATCGTTTGCTGAAAGTGCTGAAGTCTCTGACTTCACAGAGAAGCACTCGTCTTTCCTCTAGCTTTCATCATGGCCCCGGAGTATTTGGCAAACATTAAACATTAAATTGACTGTGAAAATCCATTGCCTTAGATGTCACTTTTTTTCTGAAGTGCCTTTGCTTTGTTATCTGTAAATAGTCAGTGTTTGTAAAAAATGTGTAATTTCCTGGAACTGCAAGTGAGGACTGTGACAGTAATGATGACGGCAGCATGAAATTTGACCATTTAAGCTATGCTTTAGGCACTTCATTTATTGTAAAGGTGGGAGATTCATTCCTTTATAATTTTTGCCGTGTAATTTTAAACAAAAATCAAAGAGTTTCTCAAAGTGTTATACTGCAAGGTGTGGCTGAGATACAGTTATGAAATTTAGCTAACGTGACATAAAAATACTCTTTGCTTATTCTATAAACAGTAAAACTTGTTGTATGTTAAACTCTGAGATACATGGAGCCACCCTGTCTTCTGCTTAGGGTCTTCTTAATATAAGCACAAAGAGTAGCACAACAGCTCTAAATTTGTTTTCTAGAGACTGCAACTTCCTTTTTCGGTTCGTCCGACGTGCCCACAATTGCGTCTTTCTCTCCTCATGCCATTTATAGACTGCATTCAGAGCAAATTAGTGCAATTGTTTTGCCAAGTCTGAAATGATAGGCTTCGATTCTAAGCATTACTTTTGAGGCCTCAGCAGCTGAGCATGTTGGGTGGTGGAAATATTGTTTTTGTCGGAATCGGTGCTGATGATAATTAAGCGAAAGGCTTGCTAGGTGGCCTTTATGTGTCCCTTACAGAGATGGTGTCCTGAAGGTATGAGAAAGTATAATCCATTGTTCTTTGTTTCTCCAGAGCTCTTTCCCTGATTCCAGTTTGCATACCCCCTCAGACTGGGAGATGACACATCATTATCGCAGTGTGTTCCCAGAATGGCAGAAAACAACTGCTAGCATGCGGCTGTGCTTTCTGCATCGCGGCCCTGATATAGCGGGGGCGGGTTCCTGCGGTTGCTATGGCACCTCAGCAGCCTTTGAACTACTCACACAGAAGCTTGCCCTCGGCCATGTGTCGTAATAATTACCCAGGGAGATGGCTCCATGACTTAATAAATGAAATTAAGTGAAACAACTTGACAGTGACAGCGGCGCTGTATTAAACTTTAGCATCATGATTTGTTTTGTGTGTGTACTCCTTTTAAGCTGGGATCTGCCTGCTAGGTGAAGTGTATAGTTTTTCATATGCTTCTTACACATAGTGAAAGCTGAAAATAATCACCATTTTTGTTACTAGAGGGCAAACGGAATAGGTTCATCCATTCTCCAGTTGTGACAATAACAAACTGTCCTTGATGAATGAAAGACTAAGCACATTTGGGGATAGAAATAAACATGTATACATAATTAATCTAATTTGTTTGTTTGTGTAATTAGGCCTTTGGTTGGTAATATTTAGTAGATCTCCACCTCCACACTGGCAAAAGTCTAATGGCTTTTAAAAATGTCATTATTTATGCCTATCGACTAGGGATGTCCCAGATGTCGAATACACTATATCTTATGAGCATCCATTCTTATGAATGCTCATTATTGTATATAAACTTTCCTCTGCCTTATATATTATAAATAATCTTTTATATGTGAAAATGACAGACATTCCTCTCTTTGTATGGTGTCTTTCCATGAAATTAGATAAGCTGTATACCAAAGACACAACTATTACCAATAGCACATTCATTATATGCAGAGGTGGAAAGTTCAGGTTCAGCAAGTACAAATCCAGACTCTTCATATTCAAGTGGTTGGTTAAAACAAAATCTTGGTCTGGATTTATACTTTCTGAATCTAAATTTTCCTCCTCTGATTATATGTATGTTGCTTACTGCTTTTGGTCAGAATGGATGCTGTTGCACTTCCTGGGGATGTCCAACATTCCCTGAAACTGTGGCAATGTCATCTTTATGGATGTTAGTAATGAACAAGAATAAAATTGATTGACTTTCAGGCTGCAGTAATAACTACTGCATTTGGTGAATTACAGAGGCAGCACATGAATAGTAAGAAGTGTTTGGAGGATAGGGCTGCGGTGTGGCTGCCTCAGCGCTCTGTGTGTTAGCTTAGGTCCCTGCTGTTATCGCAAACAGGGTCATTCCCAATCAGCAGCTCTGCCTTATACATAGTTTCAATGTGTGTGGGCTTTGCTGCAGTCCCCTGCTAGTCCGGGATTGTGCTCCGGCTCACAGGCTTCTGTTCTCCCGGAACTAGCCTTGTATCTCACACTGGAGGGAAGCTAGGTTAAAGGAAATCCAAATGGAAAGCCATCAGGTTTTGATATGACTTACTGCCAACCTTCTTTGTTTTTTGCCTTTTTTCGTCTCCATTTCGACTGAAGGTCGTCTCATGGCTTTGCTGTCATCTCAGGAGGTCTGGGGCCGCAGCTGTCACAATTCAGCATGGCTTGTAGACAGTGTGACAGTTACTCTGGTGTACCTCCTATGCTATATATCAGTGTTAAAAAAACAGTCTGCTTTCTATTTTGTTTACACAGAATCTGATTTGCTGCTGTCAAAATGGCCAGCGTTGTAGTTGTTGAATCCCCTTTTAGATTCAGCAGTAGTTTTTAAGCAGTTACAGATTTTGTGTATGCAGTAGAAAATAAATTAATTAAAAAAATTACCACCATCAGAAATAATTCACTTGTTAGGGTGTATTTCTAGTAAAGAAACTGATGTGAATTGTATGCTTGAGTAAATTTCCTTTTCTTTTCTTTCCTAGGATCCCGCAGTCACGCAGGCGACACGAACGGTCACCTCGGGTTTGGAGGAATACAACCCTTTCACAAACACAAAGCCGGTGGGTGCAGCCTTACTCTATACCTGGTCCATATTCACATTGCAACCCTGTACTAGATAAGGTGCTATGCTTCTCAGAATGTTGTCATGCCAGTTCTAAACTCTATGTCATGGGATACCAGATTGTTCCTCAAAAAGAAAAACCTCCATTTCTTTGAAGGACCAAGGAAGTATAAATCTAATTTGCACTCTGCCGATGAGAACTTCCCATATATATGCAGTGATGTTTAAATCAGGTGATTGGCAAGGCCATGGAAGGTGTGTGACATCAGCCTGTTGTTCATAAAACTGATTCTGAATCTGTTTAGCAGTGCAAATGGGGACATCATCTGATCATTATGTGGACATTTTGAAGGACTAGTGTTTGCACCCTAAGATGCACCGGGTCCTGTAAAAAGGCTTCATGTTCATGTTGTTATATAACGATGCAGAGAAATCATCAGACTTAATGTTTATTACAGAATGGCTGCCAGAACTAACAGAGATTGAAGGCATCCTTCAGCTTTCTCATAACAAACACCTGCCTAGATGTAGGGAAAGGGGTGTTCGATGAATCATCAAAACATATTACTCTTTTTTTCATTCTTTGGGGCTCTAGATTTTGTGCTGTTCCTATTTCTGCCATGTGTGGCATTTTGCTATCACCTTTTGAACATTAATATGTTTGGATTCCTTGTGACTGATGCAACTGGAATTTATTTATTGTGGGCCTCTTTGGATCTGACCTCATTGTTAGTTGCCTCATGCTGCTTTGTAAATTCAAAATGCTGACTTTGCTCTGCAATAGCTGTCACATATTCAACTAGCATTTGACTTACCTTTGTAGCTGTAATTGTAATTAAAAAAAAAATTAAGTCCTGTACTAGATTTTGTTCCTGTACTGGATAAGCCGTTGGAAGGTAGATGGATGGATGGATTGATGAGACTTAGGTTTGTGCAGAGCGTCCATGCATCATGATGCTTATTGTAGATTTATGATGTGTTGCTGGTCATGTGCAGCAAGTGCAACAGAATGCTTACTTACACCCAGTTAAAAGAAGAACTAGCAGTTTTCAAATCATAAGTAGATGTGCAAGGGAGAGCCCACAGCCTGATTCAAGCCCAGGACACATGACTTGCAAGCTAACCACTGAGCCCCTCCACTGCCGGAGTTCAGGTAGAGTGGGAAAGCCGCACAGTCGGTTCCTGCTGGGGATTTGGTCCAGCGCATTTATTATGGAATGAAGGAGCACGTGACAGCAGCAGCAGCAGCGGGGGTGACTGGTAACAGCAGCCCGGGTCGGTGCTACACCTCACTCAGCCCTTTGTGGGCATGGGTGCAAGTGCACAAAACAGGCAGGAAAGCTTTACTCTGCATACATTGTAATGTCATTTGTGTTTTTACTGTTTCAGTTCAAACACATGTTTATACATAGCAGAATACTGCATAATCCTTAATTGCTAATTAGGTAAGAAAATTAATTATTTTGAACTATATCTTTGCCTTTAAAGACTCAAAATGCGCCGCAAAAAAGGTACAACTGGAAAAAATGAAGAGACCACTGCATTTTTTTAGCATTTGGATTTTTAAATCCTGGTTTAATCCTGGTTCTGCTGGAAGAAGGTTACTCTGTGTGACAGGCTGCTTCCAGGCTCTAAGTTTCTAAGACAGCAGTACCCAAGAACAAGGTGAAGAGGAGACACTGGCACTGACCAAAAACCAGCCAGGTAGAGGGCAGAAGCAACTTCCTAGTGCCAGAGATGACCATCAACTTATCCGGTGGTGTCTTATATATCAGAGGCTGACCTCAAGTGTCTTTCGAAAAGAATGTGAAACATTAAGTGGTGTGAAGTGCACTGCTAGAACTCATAGAAGCCCTTAAAGACAAATAAATCATGGAAGAAGCCCTTCTTCAATGAGAAGCAGGGAATAGCCAGACTGGAGTTTGTAAAGAAAAAAATGTATTTTACACAGATGGATTCCCATAAACTGAGAAATAAGTGAAACTAAAAATGCTGCTGTGGTCTCTTAATTTTTTTTCCAGAACTTCAAATTTGCTTTTGAAATGGATGAAAAATGTCATTTAAACTTTTATAATATTTAAATATTATAAGTGTGACTTAGCAACATGTATCTTGAACATGCCAGGCCTTGCCAGATATATTGAGACACCGTCTAGAAAGTTGTCTGTTTTCTCCGTCTTGCATTAAAAGTGTAACATTATCCTAAGCAGCTGCGTGATTTTGATCTCCATCTGGCAGTGACACATGCTGAAATAAGGATGCAGAGAAATGTAACGTATTAAAGCGATAAAACAGCATCACTGTGTGAACCCTGTCCGTGTTTTTGTCTCCTCTCTTTAGGCGGTGGCTGGCGTGGCCACCAAAATGGCCCCCACCAGCACTCAGCCTGCCATCATGAAGCTTACAGAGGAGGCCACAGCGTACACGCAGTCACAGACCCAGGTTCTCCTCCTCAGCAGCCCTCCCCAACCCCTGGCTGGCCGATACTCTGGCCCCATAGCGCCCCCTGTCATGCCTCCCCAGTACGCCTGCTCATGTTGATGGAGTCACCGTCTTTCCTGTCGTTTCAGGCCAAATCATGCCAAATGGGGCCTTTGAGCACCTCGGACTAGGGAAGCAGGGCACTGTCTTGATGATATACTTCCAGTATTAGATTGTAATTCACGGTGCTTGAGTTCATCTGCCAGTTTGTAGTAATACCATTCACTGTTACTGCCAGTCTTTCCTATGGAGAATTATGTAACTATTATTTAAATTATATAACTACATTTGTGTTAGACATTTGGCAAAAGAGGAAATGCAAACCAATCTATTGTGTTGGCCAGATTCAACCATTGTTTGAATCTGAGTTTTTCTGGTAAATTGCATATGGTGTGAACACAAATATGAACCTTCTCTTGTCCACTGACAGTTTCAGTATAAGAGGAGGCCCGACTTTCACCATGGGGACCTAAGAAATAGCTGTTTTTGTCGTGCCTGCATCAGGCAGCTCTGTAGCCCAGCGGGAGTGTAGAAGGAAATGAGGGCTTCTAATGAGAGAGGAGATGTATAATTAAATGCTGCCAGAGGCTTTTTGATGCGGGGGAGCCCGCATTCTGTGGACACGCTTTTAGGCAGCATGCTGGCAGGTTGTCTTCCATTGTAAGGCCAAGTCACATGACAAAAGTCCCAAGTGCACTGTCAGCTAAGAACAGAAGCTCCAAAATTTGCCAATTAGCTAAGCGGTATGACAGTTTGTGAGCCTGTTCCCATACGCTCCATTAAGCCAAATGCTATTTGCATATGCACCATAATTTTATAGCTTTTCTATAAGCAACTACTTACTGATTATAATCACTGAATGAGGTTTTAAAATATGTGGTTGTATTTGGGGACAGCAGGGTGGCTCATTGGGTAGCACTGTTGCCTCACACCTCCAGGATTGGTGTGTGTGTGTGTGTGTGTGTGTGTGTGTGTGTGTGTGTGTGTGTGTGTGTGTGTGTGTGCGCACGCGCGTGTGCCTGCAAGTGTGTGTTATGTATATATGACATTGCGGGCAATGTAATAGAAATCTGTTATTTTGATGTTTTTTCAGTCCCCGCAAGGGGAAACTCAATTTTATAAAAATCTGTGAATGCAACCAAAAAACTAAAAATTCTAAGTAAGTCTTGTATTTTGTTTGGTTACTTATTGTTAAGGTTAGGGCTGGGTAGGGGTTAATGTTGTCATTATTGACATTAGGGTTTTTCCCATAGAAATGTATGGACCATCCCCCAAAGATACAAATATAAATATATGTGGGTCTGTGTGTGTGAATTAGGTTTATATTACAATGTGGGGACCAAATGTCCCCCACAACGTAACAAAAACCTTTTTTTTGACATAGTGGGACCATTTTCAGGTCCCCTCAAAGATCTGAGAATGTAATCAAAAAAGTAAAAATGCCATAAGTCTCGTATTTTGTTTGGTTAGATTATTGTGATTAGAGTTTTCCCCATAGAAGTGAATGGAGAGTCACCACAAAGATATAATCACAAACCTGTATGTGTGTGTGCGTGTGTGTGCGCTCGTGTGCGCGCGTGTGTGCGAGCGTGTGTGTGTGCGCCTGCCTGCCCTGTGATATACTGGCATGCTTTCCAGGTTGTACCACTGCCTTGTCCCCTTAAATGCCTAGGATTCGCTCCAGGACCCCCAGCTCTGACCAACAGTTTATAGATGGTTGGATGGACGCTTATATTCCAATGCTAGTCCGAAAATTGTGTTTGCAAGATGCTTGCCCTTCTGGATGTTTGAGTCCAGTCGGACTTCATCTGCGAGCGATGTAAGTTAGTGGACTCACTCATGGTCAAGGTTTGTGACCTCGAGGAGCAACTGGTTCTCATCCAACACAACAAGGAGTTAAAGGAGAGAGTTAATACGCCTTTTAGGGAGACGGTGTGTATGTCACAAGCGGGGAGGAGGGAGAATGAAGAACAGGTAGGTCGAGAGAGATGGGTGAACATAGGTCGTAGACATAGAAAAGAGCGTACACAGCTTACAGAGGTGGCATCACCTGAAGTGACGGTGTCTAACCGCTTTCAGGTGCTTCCAGCTTTAGAGCCGGAAGAGACTGGGGAGGCAGGTGGGAGGTTGTGGTAGGAGGGGATTCAGTTATTAGAGGCGTAGACAGTTATGTGTGCATCCGTGATAGAGGGTCCTGTACAGTGTCTTGCCTGCCTGGTGCCCAGGTAGGGGACCTTCCAGATCGAGTGGACAGGCTTTTGGCCCCAACCGGGGTGGATCCAGTGGTCATGGTGCATGTTGGCACCAATGACATAGGAAAGGGCAGGAGGGCAGTTCTGCAGGATAAATTTATAGAAGTCGCGGATAAGCTTAGAAGCAGAACATCCACAGTGGTATTCTCTGGAATACTAAGTTAGCTGAGATATGGAGATTAAATGCGTGGCTAAAATGGTGGTGTAGGAAAGAGGGGTTTAGGTTTATGGGGCACTGGAAGACCTTCTGGAACAGGTGGGACCTGTTCAAGCCAGATGGGTTGCATCTGAACCAGAGGGGAACCAGTGTATTGGGGAGGTGTATGTGTAGAGTAGTTGAGGAATTAAACTAGCGACTGGGGGGGCAGGGAGGTTAGTTAAGAATATAGGTGGGGAGAGATGGAAAGCCCCAATTAATATTAAAAGTGGGCACTGTAAAAGGCCTACCCTTTGCAGTCTGTATTTAAACACTAGGAGTATTAGAAACAAAATTCATGATTTAGAGGCCTTAATTTCATCAGACACTTATGACATTATAGGAATAACAGAAACATGGATTAGTGACAATGATGGAGAAGAATATAATATGGATGGTTACACGTTGTTCCGTAGAGACCGGATAGGCAAGAAGGGAGGTGGTGTTGCAGTATACGTAAAAGAAAACTTGCAGGCAAGGGAGCTCACTAATAAAAATAAAAGTTCAGAAGCTGTTTGGATGAAACTAAATGCTAAAAACTCAAATGGCCTAATTGTCGGGGTTTGTTATAGAGCACCTAATGTAGCTGCAGAGGAAAGCAGAATGTTATATGACGATATCATGATTATGAGTAATAAAAATTATGTTGGTTATGGGTGATTTTAATTTACCTGGGATACAGTGGGACATTGTCTCTGGCTCTTCTGTAAATGAACTTGAGATGGTGAAATTAGTACAGGATTGTTTTTTTACTCAGTTTGTCAATACCACTAGCTCTTCTTGATCTTGTTTTCTCAAAATAACCAGGATAGGATTGGAAAATTAGAGGTTTTAGAACCACTGGATGGTAGTGATCATAACATGGTTAAATTTGAGGTTAATTTTGGTGTCCGAAGAGCAAAGTCCAAAACAAAAATATACAATATTAAGAAGGCTAACTTTAATGGTATGAGACTGAAACTAGAAACTAAACTGGATGGAATTAAATAGCAAAACAGTTGAAGAGGCATGGGAATTTTTTAAAAGCACATTGTTGCAAGTGCAAGAGGACTTCATACCTGTTTCCAGCAAAAATAAATCTAGGAAACTGCAAACAAGGTGGTTTACTACGGAAATTAAGAATAAAGTCAGGAGGAAAAGGGCTCAGTTCCACAAATGGAAAATAACTAATGATTTCAAAATAAGGCAGGAGTATCTAAGTCTACAGGTTGAGTTAAAAAATAACATTAGACTCGCTAAGAGGAATGTATAAAGGAAGATTGCATTGGAGGATGACATTAAAAGAACAATATATGTATAACTGAAGCTGATTTGGTTAAAAGCCTAGATAAGCTCAAAATAAATAAATTGCAGGCTCCTGATGGCATATTACCTATAGTTTTAAAAGAGATATGGGATATTATTAGCCAGCCTTTAACTTTACTATTCCAGAAATCGTTATCTGCTGGTGTGGTACCTTCTGATTGGAAGCATGCTAATATAACGCCCATATTCAAAAAAGGGGATAGAAGTAATCCAGCAAACTATAGGCCAATCAGTTTAACTTGCATAACTGGAAAAGTAATGGAAGCTACAAAAATGGTAGATTACCTGGATTCAAATAACATTCTGAGGGATAGTCAACATGGATTTAGGAAAGGTAGATCCTGTTTAACTAATTTACTTGAGTTCTTGAGTTACTTGAGAAATTGATCACAAAAAGGCCTACAATGTGATCTACTTAAATTTCCAGAAGGCCTTTCATGTTGTCCCCCACAAACAGCTCTTGCTTAAGCTCAAAGGTGTAACTGTAGCAGCTTGGATCGAAAGCTGGTTAACAGACAGGAAGCAGCGAGTAGTTAATGTCACAGTGGGCCTGCGTTCATAGTGGGGTACCGCAGGGTTCAATTTTAGGACCACTGTTGTTCCTAATTCACATTAATGATATTGACACCAATACATACAGTAAACTGGTTAAATTTGCATGAAACACTACAAAACCAAAACACTACAAAACCAAAAAGGACCACGAGTGGTCAAAAACTAAATAACAAAAACCGGATACACATCTAACATCAACTATCAAACACAATCAATACAAACCAACTACACACACACAATGAACCGTTATTTAGTGTTTGACCCCTCGTGGTCCTTTTTGGTTTTGTAGTGTTTTCTGTTTTGTTTAATAAACCCTGTTTTGTTTTCCTGGAGCCGCTAGTGGGTCGTCCGCCCTTTCTGTGCCTGCACCATGCCTCGTGCCCGAGCCGCCCGGAACCATGACAGCAGGGAACAGAAATATAAAGTACAGATATTTTATGGGTTCCACTGAAATAAAGGTAGCTGATTATGAGAAAGACCTCGGTGTGCATGTTGATGCTTCCATGTCCCACTCTCGCCAGTGTGGGGAAGCAACAAAAAAGGCCAATAGGATGTTGGGTTACAGCTCCAGGTGTGTGGAGTTTAAGTCAAGGGAGGTGATGCTACGATTATACAATTTCTTGGTAAGACCCCACCTAGAATATTGTGTGCAGGTTTGGTCACCATACCTTAAAAAGGACATTGCTGCCTTGGAAAGGGTGTAACGTAGGGCTACAAGAATGATTCCTGGTCTTAGAGGAATGTCTTATGAGGAGAGGTTAGCTGAGCTGAATCTGTTTAGCCTCTGCAAAGGAAACTAAGGGGGAACATGATCCAGGTATATAATATTCTAACAGGTCTGGATGCTGTTCAGCCAAATGGCTACTTCAATATTAGTTTAAATACTAGAACTCATGGCCATAAGTGGAAATTAGCAGGGCGAACATTTTAAAATTAATTTGAGGAAGCACTTCTTTACACAGCATGTATGGAATAGTCTTCCTGCTAGTGTAGAAAAATTTTCAAAAAACTAAAACACTCTGTAAAACTAAGTAATGCACATTTTAATTAGAACAATAATGTCAGACATAGTTTTACACTTCGTAAATTAATTGTCTGTTATTTGTATGTATCACTAGGGAATTATCATAGACCACATTGACGTAAGGTTGATGTTACGTCATTTATCCTGGTCTGAAGGGGCCTGGTGTCTGTTCCAGGCAGCAATGGGCACAAGGCTTGGGTGGAATGTGGACGGGACACCAGTCCATCACGGGACGTGTGTATACAGTATTACAGACACTGATTAGCCTAACTGCACTTGTGGGAATGTGCAACACAGGGAGAATATGCAACCTCCACACACACACACACATGCGCACACACACACACACACACACACAGAGCATGCATTAATGTACTATAGTTGATACATGTTTTTTTTCTCAAATTATCTGAGCCATGATGGCATATATCAAAGCGTGTAAAATGATCAATGTCTTCTCTGTATATTTATTCATTAGAAGAATTTATGAAATTTCACAAATATTAGTGGGATGTCAGAATTTTGTGGTTCACACAGAACAGGTCATTTCAAGTTTTATGAAATCTTTATATGACTACTAATGAAACAAATACTCAGACATTTCAATGTGGATTTTTAACTTGATTTAAATTATTTCAGCTGGTGTTTTAATACAGTTTATGAAAAGGTTTTTTTAATTGATATTGTACAGTTGTATAGTTTATTTAGTTGATCTGAAAATAATGTACAGTGTTTATCCAGGGTCCCCTTCACACCAAAGATATATATAATTCTCACTAATCAGCATTGATGATCATCAAGGGGATCCGTATTCAGAATGGAGTCTTTGTGGGTATGTAGATGTGATCTTGATGTAGTTTTCCGTCATAGTATCGTTTTGTCGAGGAGGGATTCCGTTTTAATGTGATCGCAGTTCCCACTCACACACGATCCACGTACGCATCCCCTCCAACAGGACCGGGCTCAGACGGAGCTGCTGCGGCGGCAGGAGGAGCTGGAGAAGAAAGCCGCTGAGCTGGACCGGCGGGAGAAGGAGATGCAGTCCCTTGGCACGTCGGGGGGTGAGGCTTCTGGGACCCGTCTGCAGCAGTGTTTGTGAACCCGGTCCTCGGGGACCCAGACAGTCCACACTGCCTGGCAGCTGGGAGGGAGCCAAAACATGGAGGCAGCTGGGGGTCCCAAAGGAACGTGTTGAGACACACTGACCTGCAGCGTCTTCACACTGCAGCTGTCACAGACACAAACACGCCCTGACAGTGCTGGGTACTAATTCGAAATAAGTCTTAGTGTTTTCTTAATGAGAATTTATTGTGGACCTTCTCTTCCAGGAAGGAAAAACAACTGGCCCCCTCTTCCTGACAAGTTCCCTGTCGGACCATGTTTTTACCATGATATCACTGTAGACATCCCTGTGGAGTATCAGAAGACAGTCAAGACCATGTACTACCTGTGGATGTGTGAGTAACGAATGTTTCTGTACTCCAGGGCATTGTGCCATGCACATTCAGGAATATTACCAGAAAAAATACAAATATATGCATTGTCTTTGAGCTTTTGCAAGCATGCATTTTATTAAACACTGGTCATGTGCACAGTTTAACTGCCCCCACTACATGTTTTAACTTTTCAACTATAATCTTCTAATGTTTTTTTCAGCAGTGATTTAAGGAAAAATGTCACAATGTGTGTTTTTGCACCAGTATTCCACTATCCCTCTTTAGTTCCTGCCCATAACCTAATTTTGCCAGACTCAATCAAACTAATCCACATGACCGGCTCTTCCTCCTGACTTGTGTAATTTAAAAACCTCAGTTAAGCATCTCAGAACAGTGAGTAATGATGTAAGAATTTAGTTAGATATGCTAAATCCGATTGCTTCATGAAGGGATCTTTTCTTCAGTCTGGGATTTGGGCATGTTTAGGTGTGTAGAGGTTAGTCATGTGCAAGGGTCATCTGATGGTGGTCACATGATTAGAGTTCTGTGCTCCATCTCATGCTAATACTTGCTGATTAGCAAATAGCTGATGTTCTCCGCAGTGTTCACTTCACGTATTAGAAAGCGTTACAATAGTAGCTTATAAGTAAAGTTTTAAGTACAGTTTTCTGTGAACTGACAATGTTTTTCAAGAGAAGGCCTCGGGGTTTCAAAGATGCCTCAGTAACCATGCTTCCTGGAAATAGGCATCATATATGTTTTAAAGGGGAGCAGGAATAGAAACGTACTGTAGCACTCAAACTACTAAAATATCCACTTTATATAAGACATGAGTTGCTGTGTTTTTCTGAACCGGTGGGTTGTTTTATTAATGGTGTTTAATAGTGATGTTATAGACAACCCTTTCTGATGGATAGTATTTTCTCTTAACTTCATCTCTTTGAGGGTAACCCTGGGCTGGGGGGTCTGTATCACTGGCATCCTCGAAACCAGGGTCTACCTCTGTAAAAGGCTGTCCATGTATGTTCTTTCATCATTAGTCATCACTCTTTCATTTTATGTGCAGAGTACCCCAAGCATTTCTGTTCCATTAAGGTGCTAGTTTTACTCAAATCATTTTGCAGATGTATGTAAAAGGGTATTTTATACATTTGGATGTTGTGCTGCGTAATTCTCAGGTTAAGTACTGTGTCATGGCGGGACTTTAAATCGCAGCATTTGGGTTTCCAGGCCCTGCCTTTAACCACTACACTCTGCTACTTTTGTAATAAACGTGTGGGTCACATGGTCATAAGACACCTTAATTCCGCTGAGTGTTTTTTTGCATCAATATGACTCCCATTTAACCTCTGCTAAGTCAATGACTCCTTGTGGATTTGGCCAGTTCCCTCTAACTGGTATTTGTGACCATCTCTTTCTGCAGTTTATGCGGGGACTCTGCTTGTGAACATCTTTGGCTGTCTGATCTGGTTCTGCGTGGACTCCAGGCGAGGGGTGGACTTTGGCCTGGCGATGTTCTGGTTCATGGTTTTCACCCCCTGCTCTTTTGTCTGCTGGTACAGACCGCTGTACGGTGCTTTCAGGTACCACTGCAAAACAATAAATATACATACAGTAAAATCCCATTATAGTGGACTCGCTTATAACAGAATATTGTCTATAACGGACGAGGTCCTCTGATCCCGGCCGCACGCCTTTAAGAACATGCAGAAAAAGCATCGGATATAACGGACTCGCATATAACGGAATTTTGCTTATAACGGACAAACAATTTTAGCTGTAATTTTGTTCAGCTATAACGGACATGCAGCTCCGCCTACAAGGCGTGTGGCGTGCCGGTGATATCCAGCGCAGATACGTAGTCGGGATTAATAGTCACACATCTGGTCAAGTGAAGTTGGATTACTACATGTACAATATAATAATCTATACCACAAATGTGTCTGCTGGGGTGTGGCATGAGTAAATGGTGTCCTGTAGCTGTGTTCTGGGCATAAAGCAACTCTGGATATAACGGACTTTCGATATAACGGACTGTTTTGCCAGGTCCCTTGAAGTCCATTATAACTGGATTTTACTGTAGTATGAACATTTTAGTGAACTGCCTGTTATTTTGGAGAAAGCGAGCTACTGCTAATACTGCAGGCCGACATTGTGTAAGTCATTACTAAGGGCTTAGCCTCAGTCATACAGCACAACTGTTCTGTGTAGAGGATACAGTCCTCTGACTTTGTTTTGTAATGCCTTTGTTGAAAACTGACTGCTTTTTCTGTGCAGCTGGATTATGAATGTTAATATTAGAAAATCCTTAAATGTTACAACAGTATTGACTTAGCGGTCAAGATGTTCAGCTGGTAATTCATGCTGCGTAAGTCAACAGTGTCCTGGGGAGAAAGGTGAACAAATTTAAGTAGCTGGCAATTATGATGAGCTCATAGGCTCAGTTTCTTTTTAAGAAATGCAGTTTTTAATTTTTTATAGGTAGATGCTATTTGCATCCGGGGTGGATTGCCAGTCGGCTTATTTGCACCTGGGTGTTTATAGCAGGCAGCTACTACAGATGCTCCTGAACTTACAATGGGGTTTATGTTCTGATGAACCCATTGTAAGTTGAAAATATTATAAGCCGAATATGAATATCTTATGATAAATAAGTAACCATATGATACATTGTCGCAAACTGTATGAGATGTTTAACCATGCAATCTCTGCAGAGCACTGTAAGCGTGGCTGCTTAGATGCTGCCATCGCTCAGCATCAGTAATATGCCGGTCCGGGAAGAGATCAAAATTCAGAGTTTGATCTGATGACTACCAAGTGTGGTTCGCTATCGCACCGTCGCAAAGCCGATGCACCATCATAAGGTGAGGAGCATCTGTATTTGCATCCAAGTGTCAGTAGCCAACAATGCTATGTCATCACCATTACCATTATTACACATTTTGTATTTGTATCTCACTTTGGCACCTTTCAGCCGTTGAAGTGACATGCAACCATGCAAGCAACAGAGTGTTTATGTTTTTTGTGGAGCCAGGGGAGGGGACCGAGGAGGCCGGGTGTAATTAGCCAAACAGATGGTTTTACACCCGGGAGCAAATAGACGCTTCATTTTTTATATCACTTTTGCTGTATACAGGCATTGGTGCCATTGGATTAGGAAATTTAGTGGACGATTGGGCATGCCAGTGAACTGTCAGCTTACCAGAGCTATTATCCTGACTTGCCGTATTTTTCCTCTTGTTTTGCCGCCACAGGAATGACAGCTCCTTCAGATTCTTTGTCTTCTTCTTCGTATACATCTGTCAGTTTGGCATGCATGTGTTTCAGGCCATCGGCATCACAACCTGGGGGAACTGGTGAGTGGACAGGGGCTGAGTTACAGCTCACATGGGTCGATCCAAAACCAGTCTGTGCTCATTTTACACAGCCCTGGGAAAGGTTCTACAAGCAAAAATATATTTATCATCATACTGTTTAGATGCCTTCTGGCTATAGTTTGTGCCAAAGTGGGAGGTTTAGGGAATGGGATGCCTATGGAAATAAAATAAAACCTTGATCAGTGATAATTAGGCCCAGGAGTTTAGCACCTTCTCAGATTAGCGGTGATTCAGCTGAGGATGATTCTTTGTACATTAGTCACCGGCTTGCAGGGCACAGCACCTGCCTTGTGACAGTGATGGGGGACCCTCCGTTTTGTCTCTTCTCCCCCACAGCGGCTGGATCTCAGCCCTCACGTGTCTGAACACGAGCATCCTGGTTGGGATCTTGTTGATCCTCATCGCAGGCCTCTTCACTTCCTGTGCCGTCTTCTCACTAATAATGTTTAAAAAGGTAGGACCCCCCCCAGTTCCATGTGTGAAAAGCAGGATAAGACTAACCTGCTCTTGCGCACAATCGCAGCCTGAGGATCCTCTCTTAGCCGTCCTGGAAAACTGTTCCTCTCATCGCTGTTGTCAGTAATGCTGCATATTGTTAGTCACACATTATTATTGTCGGTTGACGTCAAATGGTCCATTAGGTGGCAGTATTGACCACTTTGTTTGTGTAACGTTAAGAACATAACTATTCAGAGTGTTGAGCAGGGGTGCTGCAAACGGAGGGGGGGAGTCTAGAATAATTCCAAGGGCCCCTGAGTGACTGTGAAAAATGTGGAACATTGGGATTGGTTTGGGTTGGGGACCCAATATGATATGGTTTTATGGGGCCCAAAATGTTATGTCGAGCCAGTGCAAAGTGTTTTTAAAATGTGAAAGAAGGAAACAGTTTAGGTTTCAGTTTTTTTTCCTTTTCACTGCTTTTAGTGAAAACCCAGGTATGGCTCAGAATTTCTGAATGAGCATGGCTGTAAATTGCCAGCAAACACTAATGCGAGGCCAATGTTCTCGTCACCACGCGATGAAAGAGAGCGGAACAGCATTGATCTGAAGCAGAGACAGAGGGTGGTGGGGGAAGGCTACAGAAAATAAAACCGATTGGACCTGTCTCACTCTGGGAACGGACTGCCCAGAGAAGCAATTTGGGAAAGCTGGCATGACACTGAGCACAGTCAATGGAATCGACACAGAGCCATACATAAGAGAAGCAGAGTGCAGCTCTGAGCTAGAGGTCCCAGAGGAGCAGCACGATTGACCTGCCTGCTGACCAGTGCTTTTTTCTTTATGGTTGAGCAGCTTTTATAATGAGTAAAAAAGGGACTTTTATTGTGAACATTTTACTGGGGTTAATCATAGAGATAGCTTAGCCTGTGTATGCTAACTGATTTTAGTGCTTAGTGCTGTAGACAATTTCTCATGGTGCTCAAATGCTTAAATTTCAGTGGTGGACTTGTATTTATGCTTCTGCTTAACGTAAACTCCTTCTTGGGTTTTTATAAGTGCCATTCTGCATATTAGATGAAGTTGTTCTTTTGACTAACTTGCCAGTATTTGTACTGTACATGGTGCAGTTTGTTATTGTAACCTCCTCCATCACCCTGTGTGCCCTCTACAGGTTCACGAGCTGTATCGCAGCTCAGGAGCCAGCTTTGAGAAGGCCCAGCAGGAATTTGCCTCGGGTGTGATGTCCAACAAGACTGTTCAGACGGCAGCGGCCAACGCGGCCTCAACCGCTGCCCGTGGAGCGTTCAAGGGGGAGCAGATCTGAGGGAGCTCTCCCCTTCATCCCAGCTCATCCCCCCCACACTACACTACACCCCCAAGCCCATACAGAGACTGTAAGATCCTCCTTCTCGTTTATTTATTGCTCTCCTGTGACCCTGAGCCATCTGTGTCTCTCAGCATGTCTGTTAACGTGTCTTCCGGCGCTCCGGCATGGCCTTTGAATCGGGATGAACAAAGAGATTGCCACTTGCACTCTGCATACTTCTACATTACTGCCCCCCACAACTTCAGCATTACTGGAATAAGGAGCAGGAGGAGATGAGTGACTGTGACTGTAGCACATTTCATCCTCTGGGGGGGGCAGGGAGTGTGGAGGGGGGCAGAAAAATGGCTGGAGTCACTGTACCTGTTTCCTCTGTGTCTCCGTTGCCACGGTTTCTTATGAAGTCAGTGCTGTGCAGTGGCAGGCAAAGCCTCAGTGCTTTCCTGCTGTTCTTTCTGAAACTGCTCTACTCAGAAAGCCTCTCTGTCCGGGTGGGAGGGCTAAGGAATTCAGACACTCCCATAATGTGGTTATTATTATTACTTGAGCGCAATGCAAGAAATGCACCATTTAGAAGGTAATTTATGAAACAGGCTGTTTTTGAGGCTAATGGTTGGACTGAAAGAACGGTATAATAGCCCAATTTAAGCTAGATGGAGATTGCTTATTTTTTATCACTTTTGAAGCTCTGTCAGGGTAGTATTTGTAGTATTTCCCTGCGATCAGAAATGAGCATGAATGCATCGATCACTTAACTGTCAACAGTCATTTAGTGTAAACACACAGGAGCCTCGCTATGGCGCATCTGACTGGGCCAGTCCTGGATATCTACAGTTCTGGATGTTTACTAATCAGCATTTCGGACTCCCCAGGCTTGTCATGCTGAATTAGGGCTAGATGATGGGATGGTGGAGTCACTAAATCAGGGTATTTGTGCTGGCTGTGTCTATCGCGATTTCTTCGTAGATCCCCTAGGCTGACGGGGAACCAGCCCTTAATCTCTGCACATTTGGCGTACATTTATAAGCTGAACAGTTTGGCTACACCTCCAGCGCTCTCTACCCACGATAATAGCATCCTGTCATCCTTGCTTTGTTTAGTGGTTCCACATTGAAATAATTTTAAAGACTTATTTTAGGGATTTGTTGGCAGCACTGTGAAGACGGAGCATCACGGGAGGAAGCCGGTCTGGTTCAAACGCTTCTACTTTCAGTAAATGTGAAAGGAGAGACTTTCAACACAACAGTCAAGGCAATAGACCATATTTGTTGCTGATGCTGCCCCCATTCTTTGTTTGACCGTGAGTGTATCAGCATCTGCATGGCTTGTGGCAGACATGTTGGTCAAGGGTGAGAGTTTATCAAACAAGAGACTTCTGCGATTGCATTTTTCTCCTGGAGCTCACAGCCTTGTCTGACATTCCTGCTATCTGCTGTCGGTCACCTGTATGTCTGCACTTCTCTAAATATTTCAGGATTTATATAATGCAGCCCAAATTAATGATGTCTGAAACATTTCTGCTTTGGTTTCATGTGTTGTTCACTTAGATGTGAAGGTAAACATGCAAATGCAAGTAAGCAGTAATGAAAACTACTGCCACCTTGTCTCCTATGTGTGTGTGTGTGTGTGTGTGTGTGTGCATACAGTAAGATTTTTCAGTTTGTGTTCCAGAGAAAGCAGAGCCCATTTGACATGACATTTCTTCCCTAAGCCATCGCAGCCGATGTACCTTAAGTCAGTTTTGCACAGTTTTGAAATCCCGCAACTAGAATAAATTAACTCAGAGGGCTACACTGGATAATTTAACTGTTTGGTTTGTTCTTTTGTTTGTTTGTTTGGTTGGTTGTTTGTTTTTTGTTCCAGTGTTGGTTTAGTCCTCCACAGCACAGTATTTTAGTTTCTTAAAGTGATGTCATTACATGGGCGGTTCTTGTGGTGGACATGGAGGTGAAGTGATATGTTGGAGTGATGCTCCACGCTGACAGCATTTTGACTCTTATTGGCTGATTAGCCGCCAAGATCAGGTGAGGTCACTTCCTTTCATGTTCCTGCGCATAGGTTACAGTAAGTCTTGATGCAGAGTTCTGAAATCTTATGTTTAGTTATAAGCTGCAGGGTTTTACCCCAAATTTTTCTTTTTTATATTTTCTAGAATTGTGATTTCTTTATAGATTAGTGATTTTGTGTTTGTGTGTGTGTGTGTGTGCGCTCGCAGGTGTGCTACAACAAGATTTTTTCTTCCATTAAAATGAATGGCATCAAAAAATGTTTTCACGTTTGTTTTCAATTTGTTAGAAAACAGAAAATCTGAGGATATAAACCGTTTCCATTTCATTGCATTTTTCCCCGTATTGCAACAGTGGCTTTGAGTTTTATCTTTTAATCAATGACCAATGTAGCTGAAACACTGAAAATGATATTGCTCCAGAGGTTGTATGTGATTATGGATTTGAATATATTTGAAATCAGATTTTAAGGGATATTTGTATATTTTGTAAAATTGGTTTGCTGTCGTCCTGAATTTTACTGTACTGTATAAATGCACTCTTCTTCTGTCGCATGTTGAGTAGTTTGGGTTTTGTATATTTATTGTATTAACATAAAATAAAATTTTAAAACATTACTTTACATGCTTCCATGACTACATGTGCTTGTAATCCAGTGCTTTCCTTTTAAAAGGATGTCCATGTCATTTAAACCTGCACCCATGCTGTTTTGATAAAGTAGCTACTTTGTTAAAATATTCCAGCTGAATAAATGAATCCACTTTGATCAGCAAGGAACGATAATACATTCCATGTATACATCAGTATATTTAAAACTGTCATTTTTAATTTATTACTGTGTATAAATTTTGTCACCGTAGGCAGTATGTGTCTGTAGGACCAGTCTGTGCCTCTTGCTTTAAGCTCCACCCCAACAGGAGGAAAGAGCCATCTCACCATTCATACTGCTCACATAACCAATGGGTATCTTAAAAAGGACATAGCGGCCTTAGAAAAGGTGCAGCGTAGGGCCACAAGAATGATTCCTGGTCTTAGAGGAATGTCATACGAGGAAAGGTTATTTGAGCTAAATCTGTTCAGCCTCAAGCAAAGGAGACTGAGGGGGGACATGATCCAGGTCTATAAGATTCTAACAGGTTTGGATGCTGTTCAACCGAATAGTTACTTCAGCATTAGTTCAAATACAAGAACTCGTGGCCATAGGTGGAAATTAGCGGGAGAACATTTCAAACTGGATTTAAGGAAGCACTTCTTTACACAGCGTGTAGTCAGAGTATGGAATAGTCTTCCTGATAACGTAGTGCAAGCTGAATCCTTGGGTTCCTTTAAATCAGAGCTAGATAAGATTTTAACAACTCTGAGCTATTAGTTAAGTTCTCCCCAAGCGAGCTCGATGGGCCGAATGGCCTCCTCTCGTTTGTATAGTTCTTATGTTCTTATGTTCTTATAAGCAAACAGCAGGGGGCAGTATAACTAAAGAATCTGGCTGACACTTTGCCTTTTCACTTGCATTTATAAACTGACAGTGCAACGGAAACTGTTATTCCTATTGCTTTCGGGTTTGTTATTTTTTTAAAAGTTTATTAGTTTAAACCAGTGTCTTCCAGTCTGGTCCTTGGGGACCCACAGCTGGTACACGTTTTGCTCCCTCGGAGCTCTCTGGCAGAAAGTCCACATTTTTGGTCCCTACTGGGAGCTGGGAGGGAGCTAAAACATAGTCTGTCTGTGGGTCCATGAGGACTGGACTGGGAAACACTGAAACTAATACAGCTGTTTAATATATTTTTTTCTCTGATGTATGATAGGCAAGTGAGTAGGGATGAGCTGAAAATGTTATCTGGATTTTATGGTATGCAAATGCTTCACCAAAAACACTAACGTACTGCCAGAATTTTTTAATATCGAGATTTCTTTCTTTCATAAGCCAAAGCTGTTTTGTGGACCCTGATTAACCTTGATCCAAAAACACTAAAACACTGCCAAACACATGACTAAGAGCCCCTTTATCTGCTTCTCAAGCTCTTCTCAGTCAGCCAGTTCCTTCACTTGCTTCATCTCTTGCAGGGTTTCTGGGAGGAGTGCTGACTCAGCGCTTGGCATTGCAGCCTCATATCTCCCGGCTTGTGGGTTTGACCCCTGTTCCTGGCTCTGTACCTCTAAGGAGGTTGGATGTCCTTTCCAAGTTTATCCAGGTTTCCTCACATACTCTGATTACCTCCTGCCATCCTTGTGACTAGGTGAATTAGTGTCTCTAAATTTCCCATAATGCAATGGGCATTCATCCCATCCAGGGCCGCCGACAGGCGGGAGGCCGGATGAGTTGTCCCCAGGCCATAGGCCAAGGGGGCCCCAAAAGGGCCCTCAAACCTTTAAATAATGTACTGGAATCATTTTTCAAAAACACATATTTGTGAAAACTATATGTAGTATTTGTTCGTCACATGAAAGCTTATATTTTATTGTACTAATTTTCCTTGACGTAGTGGTCAAAAACCATTTTACAATTCCTCCTTATAATGGTTTGGTCTGCTCTTTTAGTGAGAGCTCTTTTACCATGTGCAAAAGGAACATGCGTTGTGTATGCATTAAAGCCAGTTAGTGACCTGTGCTTAGTCAGAAAATGTGTGCGTGAGGGTGGGGAGAGATGGGGGGGCTCATCTTGTCGCCGGGCACGAGCGAAACACACGACAGGCCTGACCACATCCAAGGTGCCCCTTGCCCAGTGCATCCTGGGATAGGCAGCCTTGCTGTGACCCCGTAATAAGTGGTAAAAGGAGAATAGATGGATTTAGAATTCCTATGGTTATGAAAAGGTAGGAGGGATCTTTTTATTTTCCTTTTAAATCTGAAACACCCTTGGTAAAATAAATTGGGCAGAATTTGAGTAAATCCGTTTAATTGAATAATTCTGCCAATCAAAATCTTGAGTGTTGCAGTAACGCAGGAATTCTTTATTCCTGAAAAGACAGACCATATATTGTTTGGGAGCAGATGCCTTCAGGCTTAGGAACACGATCTTGCTGTGCTTTCTCTGCATTCCTAAGCCTATGGAAGGTCACCTCGTGAAATGAAGCATGGAGAACCAATCAGCCAAAACTTAGAATGACTTACAAATTCCTTTTGTCTTTTCTGACCAGCTACTAGCTGAGGAGATGGTCACACTTAACCACAGTATGCCTTATGTGCTCTTTATGTAGAAAATCAAGATTTTACCACAACAGTTTATATGAAAATGAGGTCATATGTTTGACACTGTATTTGGTGAATAACAGTCAGGGGTCAATGAAGATGACCACCAGCTTTTCTTTATGCCGTCTTGTATTTATTGGTTCATGTCTAGCAACCACATATATATATACATATATACATATATATACACACACACATATATATATATATATATATACACACACACACACATATATATATATGCTTGCTAGACATGAACCAATAAATACAAGACGGCATATATATATATATATATATATATATATATATACACACATATAAACATATATACATATACATATAAACATATATACATATATATACACATATATACACACTAGGGCTGTGAATCTTTGGGTAGACAGCGAATCGATTCGATTCACGATTCAGAGGTTTTTGATTCGATTCAAAAACGATTTTTGCAAATCAGAACGATTCGATTCGATTAACAATGAAATTTGATTCTATTCTGTAAATTTTAGTATAGTTTATATTGTGACGTGCTCTCTGAAAAATTGTGAAATATCCATCTGTTCGTTGTATTTCCAAAGTATTTTAACTCAGATTTACAATGTCTGCAAACTGCAACGGACTTGTCAATCTTTCCATTTACTTTGTGAAAACCGAAGTAATCCCAAACCTTTGATCTCATGTTGGCTGGTGCCTTGCAAATTTCTCCTTCTTCGTTGCCCTCCATTGTGCACTGATGCGTTTATTCAGATGACAACAAACAGGCGCGAATTGAAGATTAGCGACGTAATCCACTGCGCCACTGCAGTGAGGGCACACTTTACGTCGCAGACGCAACTAATTTAAGATTTATATATATATTTTTTAATTATCCATCGTATATTCGTTATATAATCGCGATTCATTCGATTTTAAAATATTAAATCGATTATTGACTGAAACAAACGATTCACGATTCAAAAATCCATGTTTCAAGATCGATGCATCTGCATCGGCAGGATTTGTAATCGATGCATCGAGAAAATGAATGAATCGTTACACCCCTAATACACACATACACACACATACATACACACACATACATACATACACGTGCTTATTAGACAACTAATAAATACAAGATGTGATATATATAAAAACAACTGTAAATTGTTTGTTTCATTCATCTGATAGTTTTATGGCTTTCAGTGGAGGGCAGGGCTATAATTTGTGAGTGCTCCCCTCGGGACTGGAACCCAAGACCTTTGTGTTGTTTGCACAATGCTGTGCTTGTTAAACTTTATGTATTTTTAAGGCCCCACTGTAAAATTGACATAATAGTAGACAAACATCATTGACAGAAACATTTTTGATGTGACAGAAATGATCTGATAATTAAAGGTTGCTCTTTCATGGATATAACATACAAGAACATACTGGAAGCACAATCAGGCGACCATTTGAAGGGACCTCCTCTTGTTAAACCACACTACATTGTTTACCCATCAATTCTTTGTGTTTCTTTAAAACAGGGGACTTCTATATGAAGCAGGACACCCGACTCAACATGCTTAAACAACAGAATTTATTTTGAAAGGAGCAATAATTGATTTTTGGCATCATGGAAATGTTGCATGCATTCTGCACACTACTGAAAAAATGTAATTCCTTCGGTTGAGAACAATAGACAATACAAATGGCAAATCTGAGGCCCACAAAGGACTGTGACTAATATGGCTGTCCTGCATGGACAGTAACAGGATGAACCTTATAAACATTTTCTGATGGCACATAATCATGTGTGTAAATAGGAATTACGCAACAGAAAAAAAACAGGTAAGGTGTAATTTGAGACAGATATGCTTGTGGACAGGAAGAATAGGACAGTGCTGTATACTGAAGTAGCTGCACCTGAAATGCAGTCAACCAGTGACACAAAGATGCCATAGCGTTGCTATGCCTACAGTTCAGTCCATGGGCATTCACCTTGTGTACAATGACTGGAACATGCATTCTGCTTTTGCAGTGGGAATACATAACAGGTAGCATTCCCAGCCGGGAAGAAAAAGAGGACTCTTCAGTCTTTGGCCAAAGGGCATTGTGGGAAGTTATCAGCCGTCTATATTCATGTCTATCAAACATGTTTGTTCCTGTTTTTTTTAACCCATTTTTAGCAGCACGCAGTTCAGCCATTGTTTTGCCCTCTGTAGACAATACTGCGTGCATTGCCAAGGTCAGCACCAGGTTCCTTTCAGTCAGGAAAGCCACAGGATTTTGTTTGCTTAGTGGACATCAATAGTTTCCATCAAATCTTTCACCACTCAAATGTAATACTATAATTTTGTTAATATAACAAAAATGTTCACTAAAGAGGACATTATGTATTAAAGTATAGCAAGGCAACAAGTAGGAATGAATATATTCGGTAATAGTGGGTTGAAGAAAAAAAATCTTGTACTGTATTACATAAGTTAAGAGGCCCCCCCCAAAAAAACATATGCACGGATATGATGCAATTTCCTGTGGCAAAGCCAATGTGGTTTCAGCCTAAAACTCAGTCCGGCCTGGAGCAGTTATGATCCACTGCAGCTTAAGAAAGGGATCTCCCACTTCCATAACTGCCAAGTTTCCATTTACACACCTTCTTCTATTCCTCTGACAGAGAACTATTACGGTATATATTGCACGTCTCTCACAGTGAATCATGTATGTAACAGGGCCACAATGGTGATTAGGGCACCTAACGAAGCGTACAAACATCCATAGTAATGAATGCTAATGCATCAACAGAACAGAAGTAACCCTGGATCGATGTCAAACACGTGGGCAGACTGCCAAAGTCCAGAAACACATTAATCATTTCATAGGTTTGGTGTAATGGCAAAAATGTTCACTGTATTGTGTGCTCTGTTGCACTGATTTACTAAATGCACTCTGTAAATTTGTTTAGTCTAATAGGATGGTTATTCCCAAGACCTCTGTAAGTCATCAAGACTCTCTGACATATGGTTGTGACCTGTGATTACATTTATTGTCAGTTTAAATACTACTAACTAAAGAATCGCATATGTCCTCAATGACCCTAACCACATCCTATAAACATCGTTAGACATCTGCTATTGGTTTGGGTCTTCACCACATTCATTTGGTGCTGTATCTTCTTTCCAGACTAATTGGCTGACAGTTCTGCAGGACAGGTTAATAGAAAACAATAATTTTTACCAGATCATAAGGACAAACACATTGTTCGGTGCCAGCACTGGGATCAGGCCGCAGATACTCAGAAGCTCATTTTCATGTCAGAATGGACAGCAAGCTGGCAATCGGTGGTTGCCACAGACTATTAGCTTGTGGATATCAAAAGTTATTCCTCTCTCACAACCAAGTTGCTGTAAAGCCATCTGTCCATGACAGAACTTGAGGACTCTGCTTGCACACTTGTGCAGACCCCAGAACCAAACACTCTGCGGAGGTGCTTGAGGTTTTGAGGCACTTTGTTGCTCTGCTGCTTCTCTAAATGGTTTAAACATCATCTAAATTCAGCTACGTAGCACCAGCAACGCTCAAGACTGTTTGCAGTCAAGGTAGGCGGGGCCATTGATACACCAAATGTGTCCATTTCTTGATTACTTCCCCAGAAAGATATCTGATTGGCTTTCGTAAAAAAAAGGGTTAATTGTCTAAAAGTGACAGCTTTTAATTATTAATGAAAACAGTAATTAATCCCAAAGCCCTAATATACTGCGTCACCTTTTGAATGAAGAAGTCGCCTGTCGAAGGCACAGCGTTCTGTCATATCTGGAAGTAATTGTGCGGTTTTTCTGGACTCTGCAGCAGTGGAAGAAGCCAGATGTTCATTCTATTTTTTTAAATGCTGTGCAGCATGTGACAGGAGCAGTGAGTCACTGCCTGGCCCCCAACACAGAGCAGAATATAGGCCAGGCGCTGAATAGAGCAGTCCAGTGTGCAGAACCAGCACCGCATTAAACCAGACTAACGCTGCAATGGGCCTGAAACAGGGGAAAACCAGCATGGAAAGTTTCTACTGATAACCAGCTACAGAATGAAGCCCCCCAGCACACAGACATGCACACACACAAACTACCTGTCTCACCAGCACTGGCAGACAGCTTCAACCTGGCAGACAGCTTCAACCTGGCAGACAGCTTCAACCTGGCAGACAGCTTCAGATCACTATTACCAGGTGAGTCATAAAGAATGCGATACGCAACAAAGCAGTGTCTCCTTTTGCAAACGTTTGGCACTTCATACATTCTCATACGTTAAGATGTCCAATGGACCGGAGGGAAAGCAGCAGAGATGTCATAAGGGATCCTCCTGTAGAAGATGCCAGAAGCTCGCTCGCCGCCATCGGCCTTCTTCAGCCGACAGGCCCCCGCCATTAGCGAGAAAAACAACAGGGAGGCCCTCCCTTCCTCTGAGGAGGCCCAGCAGTACAGTCCGTCCGGCCCCCGCTTTCCACTCGCTCCTTTCTGCAGCGGGCTCATGGAGATGCAGCATTGCATGACATCATGCATGGGGTAGAGCAGGAGGACAACGTTTTCTGGCAGCTGAGCGCGGCACTAAGCTCGCATTTTTTGCCTGCATGTTAGAAGCGTGTCACCCCCAGGCGAACAGGGGAGCACGCAGGGAGAAGAGGTGGGCCTCTTCCTGTATCATGGCTTCGGGCAAGGTTCAGTTAATTCCACAGCCCTGGGAGGAGTTTTTATAGTGACCTATAAACGAGTACAGGTATATTTTTAAATACAATTGAAGGGTCTTACATTCGGTAGAATTAGAAATCAAGGCTAAAATATTGCCATTCGAGACAGTTTTCTAATACAGCTGAAGTTCAGCAAGTAGTGGTTTTCTTGAACAACCCAGCGCATGCCAGGTCAACACTGGTAACCAATTACTGAGAAGTCTGCTGGTTTTCAAAGTTGGCGATTAAGGAAAACTTGAGATCGAATTCCCACGCTGTCTGGCTGATCATTCTGTACAAGTATTTACAAGCTTACAGCCAACGCTGGGCAGAGGGACACCAGGCGCCCCCTACTGGCACCAGGGGGAAACATGCAGACATATGGGGTTTAGTTTGAGTGAACACAGAGACAGACCGCTTAGGGGCATTAGTCTTAGTGGTAAACAAAGTCTTGATCCCTTTCGTGAGCGATGAAGGGGCCCGCTGACCGGTGGCCATCATAGGTGTTTGTGTGTGGGTGGGTGGGGTGGGGGGGGGGGGGGGCAGAGCTTCACAGTAGGCAGATGAGACTCTTGCCTTCCTCGATCTCCTCTTGCACCTTGTCACTGGAGGTGGCGATCTCAGCCTGTGCGGAGAAGACTGCGCAGATGAAGGTGAGCGCGGTGCCGCCGATGGCCGTGTAGAAGGCCCAGCCCAGTGAGCACATGCCCGGCTTGTACGGCGACGCCTCTGCTCCACAGTAGGTCACGACCTTATCTGAACCCCAGCCAGCGGGATACAGCATTAGGCCCAGGATTAGGAAGAGTCCTGGGGAGGGGGAGGGAGAGAGAGAAACAGGCCTGTCATTACGGCGGCCGTGACTCACAACAGCCACGGACACAGTATGATGATCGACCCGGATCAGACATCAGCTCTTCTGAGAATGTAAACAAGCAGCCAAAGGCCAAAGCTGCTTTACATCACGCCAGACTGTGCCTTACACTCCAGCTTGTCAAGGTCATTTAGAGAAAGCCAACATCATTGTAATTTGTCAGTTTTGGTTGCAATAATGTAATTACTTAGGAGTTTAGATTCCAGGAATCTTTCGTATAGCAAACGAGTTACAGAGGGCGGGGAACCGCTCGGGACATCGGGGCGCTGCTGCCAGCTCCCATTGTTGACTTTGTATCATAATAAGAATCAAAAAAGGCAGGAAAATGTCCTATAACAACAAACGCCAGTGGAATTCTGCACAAACTGTGAGAACCTGAGTGTGTGAAATATCCACTTGGGGTTTTCACTGCCTATGCCTGTAGATTGCTTAATGGATGAGCCCCCCACCCCACTCAGCTCACGACGACAAGGCCGCCCGGACGCGCATGAAGATCCATCAAGGTGAGCCACTGACAAATAACTGTCGGAGAGAAGAGGGTGAAAAATGACACCGTCTTTCACTGTGCCAACATCAACAGTTTCCTTAAATCAAAATATTTCCTATTCCATTGAAGGCTGTTCAGATTTCCTGTCACTTTGGGTCATGAAGGGATCTTCAGAGGCTTTCAGATCTTTCCGTTTTCCATGAGACCCGACAAAAATCAGCAGTATGGGTGACAGGTCAAGCAGACCTTTCTAACGGGTGGGGGCTGTACAAAATGGGATAGAGATGGAGGTTCCTGTAAGGTTAAGCCAGACACCAGTTCTGCTGTTCTGTAAGGGCGGCAGTAATTTTCACCAAAGTCAAGCTGTAACAGTCATATTATCCATTTTAACAGGTAACACTTGGGTATATTGCTGCAACTGAAAAACAGGCATCAAGAACTTAACAGGATCATCCATGACTTGAATGCCCACACCTTGAAAAGGAAGTGATTCATCTGTCTGGGTATAGTACAGTCAACCCTCAATGGTTATTAGTATTTAGATCAACATTATCCCTAAAGTTAATCAGCCACTTGTGCTTGCATCCAAAGCTAAATAAGACTGGAAATAAGATCTGAGAGAAATTACAGTGTTTATATGTATTCTTACTTCCTTTTTGTTGGTCAAATTTCTTTGACCATTGACCAGGATTCTTCAGTTCCGGTTCTGGAGGGCCAGTCTGCTCAAACACACCTACTAAACCTGGCAATTAGCTGGTGATCTAAGATATGTTTGAGGAGGGAAATCTGCAATCTGTGTTGCGGACTGTCCCTCCAGGACCGGATGTGGGGAACCCTGACATAGACTCCAACAACAGGATGAGATTCTGGGGTTTGATTAATTTCTTCAGAGAACCTCACCATCACCATCTGAGCCCAAGGATCGCATCGGGATTTTCCGCCCAGTGTTTTTCAGCAAAAGACACAGAGAATGTGGATGATGGACCGTCCCTCGTAGTCAGCTGAGCCGGGTTCCGCGGGGCTCGTGTGTGTGTGGGGGGGTGTTTTTCCACATCTCTCAAAAGGCACTACTTGAAAAACAACCGGAAGCAGTGGCCAGGTTTTCCCCCTGCCGTTGGCTGCTGCCGGTTTCCTGTGTCCGTTACCAGGTCAGGCAACTTCACAGTCCGCCGACCCGCATTCACACATACTCACTGGTTAACCCTTCAGAACCCAAGCTGGAAAGACAACGGGGAATGGTCATTTCCAGACAGAAACCAATATGCAGACTTAGTGCCTGGCCGGTTTAAGCTCTTATCATATTACTTATTTCTGTTTTAGATGCAGTGGAGGGCGGCTTTGCTCTGGGGAATCCCCATCTTCTGACTATTCTCAGTATTACGCTTTTGGACAGAGCAACGTGCCAGAGTGCATGACGACACGATTACCCGAGTCAATGTAGCTTAATAACTGTGCAAATGCAGCAATTAAAACTGAGACAAAGAGAAGGTAGTGCCAGCATTCTATGAATACGGATGTTTATTCCTTTTATCGTAGCGCATCGAATGATGCTAATAGATGGTTTGGAAGACAGAGATGCATTTTCCTGCATCCGCGTGGGGGGTGTGTCTTCAGCGATTGCTGCCCTGTGGCTGGGAGAGATCTACTGACAGTGTTCACTGACAGATGGAGTCCTCCAGAGAGGAGATTTTAATCAGGGTCCTGGAAAGCTCCGGACTCTGCTGTGCTGCGTGGCGCTCTGGCGCACGGTCGCAGCCAGACCTACAGACCAGGAACGGCAGATTCGCAAGCGACTCAGTCAGACGCAGCTGTAGGTTTTTCCAGCAGGGATATGAAACCGCGTCTCATGCCCCACCAGCTGAGGGCGCTAAAGATGTGCGAGCGGGGGAATCCAGGAGCCAGCTGGGAATCGGCGTGAGGCGTCACATGGCAGCTGGCCGCCTGGTGGGGGGTAATGCGACTCCCCCCTCCGCGCTGCCCCAGCCCCCCCACACAGCCCAGCTGGGCACCCAGACACACAAGGCTGCCGCCGCCGCCGTAAGCAGGGGGCAGACACCATAATCCCAAGGCCCTGTGCTCCTCGGCCCCCCAGCGCATGCAACACCCCGCCTACATTGTCCACTCAGTTCACTTAGATTCATTTTGATATGCAGCCCCTCCCAGCATAGCTGTCCCAAAGCACCAGTCAGATACTTAATATTTCCGGACAGGACTGTGCGTAGGTTTCTGTCCCAAAGGACCTTCCTAACCCTGTTTTGTCCCCCCAGCTTCAGTTGTGAAGGGTTAAGGACTATATCTGTGAACTCTGGGGGTTAACTAGCTATCCAACTCCCCCCTGGCAAGGTAACAGTATGAGGGTCAGAAAGCTGTGTGTGTGCGTGCGAGTGGCTGCATCTGTGGATGTGTCAGGCTGTCTGTGGATCCTCAGGCTGTCTATAGGTCAGTTCTCTCTTCATCCTTCTGCAGTTTTCGGCCTTCTGAACACCCCTGCAATTCTGGGGGGCTGGGGGGGGGGAGTGAGCGTTAGGGTGTAAACTTGGAATGTCCATAATGATCAACTGCTTCCACTCCTGTGACTCTACCACTTCCTTTCACGAGATGAATCATTCTGTCAGTCTAATGCAAATCTGACAAGCAAGCTGGGCAGCTGATACGCCGGGAAGATGGCGAATGCAGAGGCCTCGTGTGCAGCACTGTTCTGCATGCCTGTCAGGCCGGCCGGCCTTCAAAGCAGGCCTCGGGGAGGAGGAGCTTACGGACACTAGCCGCTCCTGCCCTGCCGCGCGTGCGTCTCCTCCAGTGCGGAAATAAAAACTAGGTCATAAACTCTTTCCCCATGTTAGCTGGCCTGACAGCCAGACAGTTTCTGGTAACTTATGGGAGACGGTGTGGTTTTAATTCCCTGCCTTCCTCTCCTTGGAGAGGGACCCTGGGCTGGGATTTCGGAACCGCCTGACCCAAAGCGGGTGCACTCTCAGCCCCGGATGGCCTCTCCCGGGGGGGGGGGGAGCTCGCTCTTGCGTGCCTCTTTACGAGCCCAGGGCTGCTTCGTGACGGGGAGGCCTCCCTGGCCAAGAGTGATTTTATAATTGCCCCCCCGGCCCAGCACGATTTCAACAGGGCTGCTTTTCTGCAGCCCTCAGCACGTAATACTCTTGTAATTCCGATGACCTCAGTCTCGGGCCAGTATCCTGATGTGGGGGGGGGGGGGGGGGGTTTCAGCATGGGGTAACAGAAGGTTTGTGTCATACTCAATGCAAAGCCAAAGCTTGACTGGGACAGAGATGTCCCAAAGTGTGCCTGGGCCTTCTGAATCGCACTAGTTACACCCAGAACACCTGTCTGCCTCACTTCTCGTCCTCGCCAGCGACATTATTATCCGCTCATTATCTTGACGATCTGCTGGAGGTTCGCTGCACGCCGCTGTCAGCAGCCGCTTGTTTGTGAAAGGCCCTGTCGGTAAATCTTGCAAACAGGAGGGAAGCAAAATGTACGAGAGAACAAGCCCCATGGATGGAATCCGCCAGGCGAGGTCCCCGTTTCCTTGACGGAAAAACCGAATGTCCTTGTTTGTCCCAAGCGTACCTTAACCACACCCATTGGGTCACCATGAACAGCCTTCATTCTGTGGCCACATGGGTCAATAAATGGCTGCCAGTGGTACCAAAGGAGGAAAGGTTTAGGCCTGGGGCATAAATATAAGGCACAACAGACATGCCGAAAATGCTTAACCACCACAACCACCTACAGGTCATTCATAAGCTGTCAATGAATTTTACCCTCTTCCCAGTGCAACAATGATGCTGACATGTGGTCTTGGGTTTCGATCAGCCTTTGGTCCTATGGCAAATCAGGCAAGGAAAGCCTTTTACTGCTCTCACCAATAGCAAATAGCATGTGACTATTTCGGTGCTACAGTTTTATCTAAAAGCTCTATTATTGTAACATACAGTACCAGTCATACAGTTTGGACACACCTACTGACAAAGGTTTATTTGTACTTCTCTATATGTTTTAGAATTTTTATAAAGACATCAAAACTATAAAATAACATATAGAACAACGGACTGACCAAAAAAATAAAATAAATTGTATTAAACAAAAAAAATGTTTGGGGTGTGGCAGCTCTGTGGGTTGGGACTCAGAAGGTTGCTGGTTCAAATCCAGAGTGATACAACCATTAGGCCCTTGAGCAAGGCCCTTAACTCCAACTGCTCCAGGGACTGGGTGACCCCACTGTCTCCTCTACACCAGTTCCATGAGGTGGCCTCCTGGGATGCTTTTCCAGCTGTCCTGAAGGAGGTCCACATATATGCTGAGCACTCATTGGCTGCTTTTCCTTTACTCTCTGGTCAAACTCTACTATAAAACCAATTCTAGTGTGTTTAGGTCAGGTGGCCTGGTCATGCAATGTGACACTATCACTCTCTTTTGTAGGTGTCTTCGTGTGTCCAAACTTTTGACTGTGGTCAGATCAACCCAATATAAAATCTGTACAAGAAGAACCTTGGATTAGCAGCCAAACTGTCCACTGATGCTGGCGCCCAGTGTTGATGGCTGAAAACTTGGAGAAAACTAACCTACAGTCCTGCATCTCCAGAAAGTCTGTCTATGTAGCCCTGAAGAAGCTGTGGTGGAAAACTAGAAAAATAAACAGTATACTGCATACAACAGATACTATACAATATTACACAAATAACCATCCAAAAAAGTGCTTAGAGATAAGCAATATCCAGGTCTAAGGATGCTAAGCATTTAGCGTATTTGTTTTTTTAGCGTAAGTCTCCTATAACACAAAAAGGCACAATGAAACAGATGGGGGCTTGGCACTGCATTACATACAACATGTTGCTAAGCCAGTTCTTACCTGTAGCAGAATTGTCTACAGGGTGGGGCTGAACGGGCATATAAACAAAGCGGGGCACAGTCCAACTGCAACCATTATCGGCGAAAACGGGCATATAAACGAAGCGGGGCACAGTCCAACTGCAACCATTATCGGCGAAAACGGGCATATAAACAAAGCGAGGCACAGTCCAATTGCAAACATTATCAGCGAAAAGCCGATGGATGAGCCCCTTTAAGAATCCTAGAGTCTGGCCAAACACCTGCCTTTGTCAAGCAAGGAACGATCGCCCTTAGAAGTAAGTGTTTTGTGTGTAGCACACAAAAACCACTTCAGGGTTAACTACATGGTATGAAATATAACGTAAATATTAAGACAAGTGGCTTAGCTGCTTGCCATGTCGTTTGCTTGTCAGACAACAGACAGGCGTGAACATTCATAAAAAATGAATGCAGAAGTCGTGGGAAGAGATTTTATGGTAAGTTTCTCGATTACGCTTCCAGGTTTCCTGTAATATCTTTTGTGCAAATGACACAGATTTCTGAGGTGAGCTACTTTCCAACCTCTAGTCTTCATGAAATATGTCGCTGTTTTTCTTCCAGTGTTAGATGCTGAAATGTGCTACAAAGTCTTTTTTCAACATAAGTTGCATCTGCATGACACCTGCATCTTAAAAACAAAGCCCTCCCCCACCCTTACACAAAGGACTAGTCTCCAGCTAGCTCCTACCATGTCGTCAGGCTCTATTTTACTGGGGGTTCAGCTGCATTGTTGCACGTGTTCTTTCCTCTCACAATCCTATCGCTCGGTGTGGTTGTCAAAAATCTATACTGATGTGTTAAACCCCAAGTGCACCTATAAAAGCCACGTGTGCTTGTGGCTTTAAACGTCACCATTTTTTTTTGAAGAGGGGGCTAGCTAAAAAAAGGGAACAAGAAAAATTGCAAGTGGTGAAAAGAGAAGCACTCAAAGTATTGGTTCGAATCGAAACTAGCCATATATAACAAGGTATCAAGATGAGGTAAAGAGGCGTTGAGAAATTTCTGTTATAGCATCTTAGTTTTTTTTTTTTATCCTATATGTTTTTGCTTGACTAAACTGTTTTGAGGGTCTAAGAGGGGAAGAAGCTCCTTTCGTTAGCAGGAAAACATGGTTTATTATACATCGGAGCATCACTAGATGGCCAACTGAAAACCCCAGTTCATGGTGTAATAATGAACGTTCGGCCTGGCTCAGCTCACTTCCTGTCCACTCTGCTTCCTCCACGAGGCCCAGGTACATAAGCACGTCTCTGGGGCTTTACATGCTCTGATGACCAAACATAACCCTTGCTTGGAAAGCACCCACCTCCCGATCTGATGCCCAGTGATGGGTGATCCTGGCAGGCTGAGCCTTTGGACAACTGCAGCACCAGATTGTTTACCAGGGTTTCAGCCATGCAGCTAAGACTAACACTGGGCATATTGAATCACTCTTATTAGAAAGAGTGTCAAACAGAAATGCCCAGGGCAGCTGAGATCACCAGCATGCGAGTGACGACGGCCGTGCATTTTAGGGACTCTGAAGCATCTCAAGCCCTATATGGCTCACTGCTCTTACCCCTTGCAGGAATAACGTGGGCAACAACTAAGCAAGTGACACAATGTGAGCCATGTGGTGCATTTATAGATACTTCGCACCATAGCTGAGAGAAAATTCCCAGGTCTGAATAAACATCTTCTCAGGTCACAGAAGAAGTTATGGAAGAAAATATTGCATAATGTACAAAAGTAAGTAAAATAAACACACTCCTGAATATAAATTCACTAACCCAATAAGCAGACATTGGCGAATATCTTTTCAAATTCACCGAAATTAACAAACAATGGTAAGAAAATAAACGTTAGCACACAAATCAGCCTGAACCCAATTGTGTAATAAACCTGTATGGCCATTTGGAAAATCTATCTCCCAGTCGAGTGTTAGGTTACATCCAAACACGCAGAGTTCCATTTCCCTTTTACTCTGGGTCAGCATACTTTGCAGAAAACACCAAAATGAGGAGTTCAAAAGAAAAAAAAAAGCGGTGGAATGAGAAAGTGGCCCTTTGGTTGTGTGTGAAATTACTGGCCTAGACAATGACAACATTTAGTCATGGGACAAACACCATGCAGTCCCCCACAAAAAAAGACATAAGAAAAAAACACAGCTTGGGTGAAAATAAGATGAAGCTACTATTGTTCAAAGTGAAGTCAATTTCTCTGAAAAGTCACTTCTTTCAGTCACACCAGTGCAGGTACCTACTTTCACTTGAATGTATTTTGGGATTATGAGCTATTACGGGTAGAGATCTCCACAACTGTATGCTATTTATGTGAAGGCATAAAGTGGACCTGAAATTTTTAGTGTGCCATACTGGGGAGGGTCTACATTTAGGACAGATTACGCACCACAGAACATCCTTGGAATACTTTCGTAACATTATGTGGCATTTGCTGTGCCTGCTGGTTCTCTTTGCGGCTACAACACCTCTTATTATAAGCACTTTCTGCATCGATGTGCCGAAAGAACTTGCAGAGGATAAAGGCTCCTTACAGGAATCCATGGATGCATATTTCCCACACTTTTGTCTTTACACAGTGATAAACCTTTTTCAAATGGTCTTTTTACGAATGGACACTCCTTTCAACTCCACTAGCCATTAAAAGTTTCTTAGGAGAGACAGAAAATAAATCTGAAAAACAAAGGCAAAAGACTGGGATGAGTAGGTGCCCCATCCTGGGTTATTGCCCCATCCTGGGTTATTGCCCGCCTTGCACTTCTGGGATAGGGTCTCCAGGCAATAGGACAACAGGGCACAGAAAACAGATGGATGGCTGGATAAAATTCAAGGACCCTGTGTGTATTTTATGGACATAATCTCAACTGTGTAAAATGGAGACTTCACCTCCTTTAACTGACTCATGGTTTAACTGACATGATCTTCCTTGTCCTCTTCTCATTGATCATCTTTTTGGTTTTGTGATGCTTTGGGTTCACCGTGAAACCCACACATACTCATACAGAGCTCAGTAATATCACCCATCCTTTGAGCACGTGAGCGGAGTGACTGCGATGCTTCCCATGGCACTGAGTGGAGTCATGGGTCAGAGGTCAAATTCTCAGCCAGCTCTCAATAACTCGTTTTAATAACATTAACTGACTGGCTCATCTAATCTGCCTCCACATCTGCCTCACTCAACAGGAAATTACCTAGACATTGGATTCAATTATTGCCCAAACGCTGAGAGCAAAGACAATCATGTGGAACCATTGAATAATACTCTGATGTTACCTTAGATACAGTAAACCAAAAACAATTGTGACAACCCCCAAAGTTATTGTGCTGGAAGCGATACTAAGTGATGTGTTAGGACAAGCAGTCTTAGAAGGTACCTTTCCTAACAGCCTCAGTGCATAGTTGTGGTACTATCATCTACAGGTCACTCCACAGCATTATGGGAGATAGTGGCACTACACCACGCCTACATGGGTGGATGATGGGAACCTGACACCTGGTCCTGCATGACCGCTCCGAACGCACGCCTGAGTGACGTGTCCCCAGCCCGACCCCTGCAATCACCACTGCTGGCTGGCTGCCCCACGCGTGACACGGGACCCACCCGCCCTCCGAAATGGTGAGAGGGAGTCATCCACAGAGGAATCGCTTGGCAGCTGGAAGTGGCGCTGGCAGCCCAACACTTTCCAAGCCATAGATCTCCCTCCAGACAATGCTGCCCCCGCAGATCAAATCGCAGTGATTCTCTCGCCAGATGATGCCAGTGAACGAGTATCCATAAATATCTGTACAGAGTAATCCACAGCAACCCCCTTCCAACCTTCTCCCAGCATTCATCTTAATCCCATTCTCATCATGTCTACGAGAATGATGCAGTATTAGAAAGATCATAGAGAAAACTTGGGAAATGGTCAACGTTGATTCATTGGGTTGGTCGATGTTTAAATGACAGAAGGGCTCATGCTGCCTGTCCAGAGAACACAGAAGATAAAAAAAGAGACTCTCAAGGTTTCTCTTTCATGCTCTGGGAGTTCAAGGCAAACAAGAGTCACACAAAGGAACTGAAAACATAACACAAAGCAGGTGCTACAGGAAATGCACAACAAAAACAGGATTTTTACAAAGTATCCCAACTGAGATCAGGACCCGAAAAAAGAAAACAACTAGGACAGCAGGGGTGGGGGAGGGGGGAGTGTGGGGGTGGACAGAAGTCTCACCGGCGATGCCCTGCAGGAGGCCGCACACGTTGAAGATGCTCTTCTTCATGATGCTCTGGAAGCACATGGTGAAGACGGAGATGAAGGCCACGGCACACAGCAGCAAGATGCCGGCCGCCAGGAAGATGGAGGTGGCCTGCCAGAAGCCGCTGGCGATCTCGCCGAAGTGGACGGCGTAAGGCCCGCACAGGACGTCCCGACGGAAGCCGGTCACCTTGATGCAGCGCCCATAGATCCCCAACGTTGGACGGTACGGTTCAGGAGAGACGTGTGAATCTAGCATGGCCTCAGGCACCCGCGGGGAGCCCACCAGCCAGTCTGTGCTCATGAAGGCTATGAGCTCTCCGAAGGCCACCACAATGCTCAGCAGAGTCCACAGCATGGAGCGGCAGGTCACGATCACATGACACATGGTGGCGGGTGTGGGCCGAGTTCCTGTCTTGCGTGTCCGAGGAGGTCACAGGTTTTTAGATGCTCGCCTTGGCACTCTGAATGTTAAATCCCTCGTAAGAGCGAAGAAGGGCAACTCACAGTACAGCGAAAAGCATTCTGAGGTGTAACGTCGTCAAAAGTTTCCCAGGGCTTTCGGTGAATGATTAACCGCTTATCTTATCTCCCGCCGACGACTTAGCTGTTGGGCTGCTCCCCCTCCGTAGTGACTTCCTGGCACGGCGTGTCGATCCCTCTCACTTTGGACACCTCGCCACGGTGCTACATCTTACTGCTTACTGTGTCCTCAGGGCCTGCCCGGTGACATCACTCTGGGGAGACACCTAGGAGAAAGGAAAGAAAACAGCAAAAGCGGTTTTCGTGAAGGCCAGAGCCATTTAAAGGGCCAGGCAGCGCCGCCCACTAAACCACAGGGACAGCGCTGCGGCCGCCCACATCTCCCAGACACGCTGTTTGTCTCGCGGCCTCCGGGAACACCCACCACCCCTGTGGAAGTCATCAGAATGGAGTCAAGGCTGGGACTGACTGTTTGCGCTGCAGAAATCGCAGTGCGGCGCACTTTTCAGACGGGATTTCACGCCGGGCTCATTCCATTCTGCTCTGATAATGCGAGGAAGCCGGCCCGACTTACAAACTGTCCTCTCATTATAAACACTGAGATGTGAATCCTCAGGCCATCCAGCGTGACATTCTGACTGAGTACGAAACGCACACATAAGAACAACAGGGTTCAAAAGGACATTGTTTACTATGTTTAGAAGTTATTACTTGTCATAAATGAATGAATACTATCTCTCCCCAAACTGTGCAGTATAAAATTTATATGGGAAATGCATATATAATTTTACAATGACAAATACAACCCTAACTTCCTAACTTATTCTAACTTTAAGGGCACTCTCTTTTCATTTCTATGGGCATAATCCTGGTCCTAACTATGAAAACCCTAACCCTTACTCAAACCTAACATTTTGGCATTTTTAAGTGCCAATTTAATTTAATTTTAATTGTATTCGCTTTGTTTTTCACATTGTGGGGATGTATACAAAGTATACAATATGCAAACAAAATATAAATGTGTTCCTCATGTTGATAAAATGTAAGATTTGTCCTAGAAAATGGACTTAAAAAAAATATATATATATATTCCTGACAAAGTTCTCAGAAGTCCTGGATTGGTATGTGTCAGGCAGCACAGCAGCCCTGAGAGGATGACTTGCATGTTAAAATCAGTCATGCCTGGCCTTTGAAGTGCATGTCTTTATCGCTACTTTTGAAGTGCAGTCAGCCAGCAATCCGCTCAATGTTTTGTTTCACATACATGCTGCCCTGTTTTGTATAACAAGAATCAAGTATCTAAACCACAGGTAACTGAGTAGTCAGATGCAGTGAGGGGTGATGAAGGGGTGTGGGGTGCTTTATATGGAATAGCACATTGTAACACTGTCCACCTTAAAAAATATCACCACTACTAACAAATCAACAACAAAAACAACTACAACTAAAATTATTATAAGCTAAGATGGCAAAAGTTAACTTATTTCACTTTACGGACTAAACTAATGCAATATATCATGAATGCTGCTAAACGGAAGAAGCATATTTCTCAAATTGACCTTTTCCCTACATGAGGGACCACTGAAATATCGATAATTTATTCCATAACCAGGTACGCAGTACAGGCTTACTGGCAGCCATAGAACTTATCCCAGGAAGTACAAGTCACAAGAAAAATATTAATGGCCCCGGAAAGGACACCAATGAAATATCAAAGGCCTGGGGATGGCCCGGATAGGACACCAATGAAATATCAAAGGCCTGGGGACGCCCCAGATAGGACACCAATGAAATATCAAAGGCCTGGGGATGGCCCGGATAGGACACCAATGAAATATCAAAGGCCTGGGGATGGCCCGGATAGGACACCAATGTCTTAAATTCTTCTCATACTGATCTGTGCTCTAACCC